AGTGGCTCTGTGGTTAGCACTGCTGCCTCACAGCGCCAGGGACCCGGATTCTGTCAGTGACTGTCTGTTTGGCATTTGCACGTTCTCGCCATGTCTGTGTGGGTTTCCTCTGGGTGCTCCGGGTTCCTCCCACAGTCCAAAGATGTGCAGGTCGGGTGGATTGGCTATACTGAATTCTCCATAGTGTCTCGGGTGGGTCGGGATGGGATGCTCTTTGCGGGTCGGTGTAGACTCGATGGGCTGAATGGTCTGCTTCCACACTGTAGGGGTTCTATGATTCATGCCTTGGATTATAGTCATTGGAATATAGAAGAATGAGGGGGAATCTTATAGAAATATATAAAATTATGAAGGGAATAGATAAGATAGAAGCAGGGAGGTTGTTTCCATTGGTGGGTGAAACTAGAACAAAAGAACATAGCCTCAAAATTAGGGGGAGCAGAGTTAGGACTGAATTGAGTAGGAACTTCTTTACCCTATGTAATTTCCTGCCCAGTGAAGTAGTTGAGGCTTCCTCATTGGATGTTTTTAAAGTTAAGATAGGTAATTTTTTGAATAGTAAAAGGATTAAGGATTATGGTGAGAGGGTGGGTAAGTGGAACTGAGGCCACAGAAAGATCAGCCGTGATCTTATTGAATGGTGGAGCAAGCTCGAAGGGCCAGATGGCCTACTCCTGTTCCTGGTTCTTACTTTCTTATGAAAGTTTGTCATCATGGAGGAATGGTAAACAATTGCATCCTTCATGCATCACTAGGAACATTTTTGGATATATTTTTTAAAAGCTTGCTGTGATTTAATGTGAGAAATGAGGTAAAACGTTTTAGGTTGAAGATCAAAAGAAACTTTTTATGCACAGCACATTATTTATGTATTCGGGTTCACAAATCTTTGGAAGTGAGAGGCAGAATTAACAGATATTTTGACTTTATAACCCTAATATACTTTAAATAAATATGAAGTTGCACACAAGAACAAAATGATGTTAAAGTATAAACAGAGTGCTGATGACTAATCTGTGGAAGAATAAAATCTGGGGCACTTCATAAGGTTCGTTTCTATTGAGTGCAAAACAATGTTTGGAAGATGAAATGTTCCCAGCAAACTTTACGATTTTAATAAGAAAACAAATTGCTGAAATGAAAACTTAAAGATTATAAATTTTAGCAAAGCTGCATATTTACAAAGGAATAAGATGCTGTCTTGCACTCAAAACAGCCCTCTTGTATTTCTTTGTAAATCTTGAGTGGCCTATCTTTTACTCACATTTTCCGTCCGTAAATTATAGGAGGCAGCAGTATTCTCCAGCAGTCCTTTGAGAAATTGACAATAAAATTGGCAGCTTAAGGGAATAGAGGATAACGTGAGTTATAATCACACCTGCACTGCATTTGGCCAATTCTGTCTCAAATCAATTAGTTTGGAGTCTTACGGCACAGTGGTAGCAGGTTCAAGACCACCTGCTCCAGAAGAGTGTCATAAATCTCTGAACATGTCAGGTAACGCATTTTAGAAGACCTAATCCAGATGGAAAGTATATAGTAAATGGCAGAACCCTTAAGAGTACTGATAGGCAGAGAGATCTGGGTGTACAGGTACACAGGTCACGGAAAGCAGCAACGTGGGTGGAAAAAGTAGTCAACAAGGCATACGGCATGGTTGCCTTCATCGGCTGGGGCATTGAGTTTAAAAATTAGCAGGTAATGTTGCAGCTTTATAGAACCGTAGTTAGGCTGTATTTGGAATATTGTATTCAGTTCTGGTCGCCACACTACCAGAAGGATGTGGTGGCTTTGGAGAGGGTCCAGAAAAGATTTACCAGGATTTGCCTGGTATGGAGGACATTAGCTATGAGGAGTGGTTGGAGAAACTTGGGTTGTTCTCACTGGAATGATGGAAATTGAGGGGTGACCTGACAGAGATCTACAAGATTATGAAGGGCATGGACAGTCAGAAGCTTTTTGCCAGGATGGAAGAGTCACTTACTAGGGGGCATTGGTTTGAGGGGCAAGGTTTAAAGGTGATGTACGAGGCAGGTTTTTTACACGCAGGATGGTGGGTGCCTGGAACTCGCTGCCGGGGGAGGTAGCGGAAGCAGATACTATAGTGACTTTTAAAGGGTGTCTTGACAAATGCATGAATAGGATGGAAGTAGAAGGATACGGTCCCCCGAAGTGTCGGGGGTTTTAGTTGTGATGGGCAGTGTGTTGGTGCAGGCTTGGAGGGCCTGTTCCTGTACTGTAATTTTCTTTGTTCTTTGTTCAGATTGTTTTAAATATCTCATTGCCATTCATGGAAATGAATTCAGATTGGAGGAACAGGATGTTATCAGACTTCAAATATGTTCTGGGATTTAGAGCAAGAATATTGGAGGTATAATAAGTTGGAATAGGCGCAGAACTGTACAAACCCATGTTAATACTCGATAATTGGAGGTTTGAGGCTTTATTTTAGATGAAAAGTAACCTGTGCCAAACGCAAAGTGAAGGGTTAAACCATGTGTGCTTGGACTTGGATGTTAAATGGTGAGACTTTTTAAGGACATATCCACTTGGACTGGACAGAAAAAGATAGTTTCTTGAGTTTCTGTGCTTTTCAAAATGCATCTTCAGTAGCTAGAGGCAACCAGCTCCACAAATTGTCCGTTTGTGAACTTTGTAATTTACATGCCATTCCTTTAGAATGTAGATACCTTGACTACTGGTGGAGGTCAACCTATTGGTGACAAGCTAAATGTCATGACGGCTGGGCCTCGGGGGCCACTGCTTATGCAGGACACTGTATTTGTTGATGAGATGGCACACTTCGACCGGGAAAGGATCCCTGAGCGTGTCGTACATGCAAAGGGCGCAGGTGAGTTTAAACCTTGGCTAATGAATTGCCTTAGTCATTTGTAAATGGAGTGTAGAATTTAGGTTTCTCCATAAAACTATGTCCCACCTATTGAGTTGTTTCACTGTCATTATGTCAGTGTACCTAACATGACTGGGTCATAGCATGTTAACTTGTACATATGTTAAGACTCCATCTTAGCTTGGGCCACTTGAAGCATGACATGCTGGTGAAAGCACTTTGTAACTGAATGGCACGATACCAGCCCAGGGAAGCATGCCTGTGATTGTAGTGTTTAAATATAAAAGTGAGCTGCAATAAACATTGTTAGATTCTCCAATACCACAGTATCCACATCTAGCCGTCACAAAGTAGTTGGATGCTGTAGTACAGTGGACAATGGGATGACAGTTTAGCCCTACAGCAGTTAATGCCAGCAGAAGGCCCATCACCTTGGAGAAATAATGGGTGAGTTGTGAATGTGACCTTGGAAGTGCCAACATATTGAAGAAAAAAAAAGATAAAACTGACAAGCAATCCCAGCTCAGATCCATTTTGCCAGGTTTTCAAAATTGAATGTTTTTGACCAATTTTATGATGTTTGAAAGCTGCCTAATGTGCCTGCAGCTCATGGATATCCAGGTAAATTAGGGGAAAGTAGCACATGCATCATCAAAGTGTTAGCTCTGGTAAGATATGGATTCAGCTAGTTGCCCATCTAAAAAGACCATCTTCAGTTGCTAGGAACCGTCTTGCTCACTGGAAGAACTTTAAGAAAATAAGTATGTACATTTGATTACTATTATTGCACTGTTTTCTGTCTGAATCCAATTATGAAAGATAATGTTCGCTTATCTAGGAGCTATGGAAATGGCTTAATTAAGGCAGAACACTTAGCACCAAGTATTCAATTCAAAAAGACAAATCAACTTGTGGATCCAGGGTGATCAAAGCGGCCTTTGATTCATTAAACTACATGTTTTGGAATGACGCCAGGAGCACAAAATTTTGCCATCAGAAGAAATATTTTCAATCAACTCCTTCAATCATCTTAACCTCCAACACCCCCCTACCAAAAAAAAAGGCTCAGTTATTTGGGACATTGCTGATAGAGCTGTGATCCTAAACTTAGCTTGATACAAATGTTTATAAAGCACATTCTGAACTCCAGACTTCATTGTCTAAAGCTTCCCCTTATTATGACATGTGCAGTGCAGGAGGAGATCATTTTCCTTCTCGTGTCTGTGTTCTCTCTCGTGCTCTCCTTTCACCAACTCATCCTCTTTAATCAAATCATTATATGTTTCTTCTTTTTGAATGGAATGGGATGTACATTTGAAATTTAGGTTTAGTCTGCTTCCGGACACCACATGTAATCTCTTCACAATGTAAATGCTTCGGAACTCCTGAACATTCGTCTAAGAGCAGTACGAGCGTGTCATGGAGCAGATGTGGTACATCAGAGTAAATAACCCCTGGAGTCCACTGTGCTTGGGTCAGACTGGTGGGGGGCCCATTGTCCTCGGGTAAGGACTGTCAGTGTGATCCCAAGATCCAACTATGAGCTTTTTAACTACCACAGCTTTAATGCTTATAGCAGCTGGAATTTCTGCAGCTGCTGGTACTACAACGCACCCTATTTAAAGTATGCTCATTCCAGTTTCAGGATCCCGAAAGCATCCTGATTGATATGTTTTATTAGTGTGAAAGCATCTCATTTGTCATGAAAATTAACCAAACAAATCTCTTCACCAGCTAAGAACATGTAGGGGGAGACTGTGGCACAATGGTAATGTCATTGAACTACGAATCTAAAGGCCCAGGCTAATCCTTTGTGACTTCAAATCCTACCATGGCAGCTGGTGTGATTTTAAATTCCGCTTTCAATTGTAGATTTATTAATTAGGTTCAATAATGGTGATCATAGCGGGATCAAATCTGATTCACTAATGTCCTTTAGCAAGTTGACCATTTTTGTCTGGTCCTGCTTCCAATTGACTCCATGCTCACAGCAAGATCCCCAATTTCTCAGACCTTCCCTTTGCCAAATTCTCCTGTTTCCTCAAACTGTCCCAAATTTCAAGAACTGTCTTCCCTATCACTTATCAATTTTGGACTCCCCCCAGATGGAGTTCAATCTAGATAAATGCGAGGTATTGCATTTTGGTAGAACAAACCATGGTAGGGCTTATACAATTAATGGTAGGGCCTTAGGAGTGTTGTAGAACAGGGACCTAGGAGTACAGCTGCATAATTCTTTGAAGTTTGCATCACATATAGACAGGTGGTTAAAAAGGCCTTTGGCACGCTTCCCTTCACTCCTCAGTCCTTTGAGTATAGGAGTTGGGAGGTCATGTTGTGGTTGCATAGAACATTGGTGAGGCCTCTTCTGGAATACTATGTACAGCTCTGGTTGCCCTGTTGTAAAAAGAATATCCAGCTGGAGAGGGTCCAAAAGAGATTTACCAGGATGTTGCTGGGTATGGAAGGTTTGCGTTATATGAAAAAAAGGCCAGATAAGTTGGGACTGTTTTCACTGGAGCTTACGAGGTTGAGAGGCAACCTGATGGAAGTTTACAAAATAATGAGAGGTATAGGTAGAGTTAATGGTAGTTGTCCTTTCCCTAGGATGAGGGATTTCAAGTCTAGGGATCACATTTTTAAAGTGATAGAAGAGAGATTTAAAAAAGACATGAGGGATAAATTATTTTACACAGTGGTTTGCATGTAGAATGAAGTTCCTGAGGACATGGTGAATGTGGGTACAATTACAACGTTTAAAAGACATTGAGATAAGCATGTGAATAGGAAGGCTTTGGAGGGAAATGGCCCAGGAGCAGGCAGGGACTAGTTTGGGATTATGTTTGGTATGGACTGGTTGGATCGAAGGGTCTGTTTCCATGCTGTATGACTCCAAGTTCTGAGACTGCCGGAGTGTGATTCCTGAGCTTGTTGATAGCTAAGTCTGCAGGCCTTGCTTGACAGCTGTCCATACAGTTGTTGTATAGTGGTGGTGGTTGTGTGACATTACTGAGTTAGAGGCTTCAATAGGTGATGCCATAGAGTGGGATACGTGGAGCCTTGTACTGCAGCAAGAAATTGGTTTGCCTGGAGACAAAATGGAGGAGTACCTCCTGGCCACTCTGGGAGGGTTGGTAATGCAAATTGTAAGGAGCTTTCAGGTAAATTTAAACAATTGTTAACCGTTCAAATGGAGCCATAGTGATGTGTTAGGATCGGTGACCTGGTAGGATAGCATTCATAAGTGGTAAGTTATTTACTCCCATCAAACCAGCTTTGCTGTTCAGTGAGATCATGGGGTAATTTGATCATGGCTTCAAAATGACTTTGCTGTCTATTCACCATACTTGACTCTTCTGTCAATTGAAAATATATCTAACTCTCCCTTGAATAAGTTGAATGATTCATCCTTCACTGTTTGTTTCTGGGAGTATGAGCTATAGATCTGAAATTAAACAAAAATCCTCATTTAAGTCTTAAGTGAGAAATCCCTAATCTTTAAATTGCGTCCCTAGTTCCAAATTCCTAACAACAGGAAATATCCTCCCAGCATCCACCCTGTCAAGTGTCCTCAGGGTCTTTATAGATCAGTTGTTTCACCTCATTTTTATAAACTCCAGTAATTATTGACCCATCCTGCTTAACTTTTCCTTCATCCTGGTCAAATGACCTTCCTCTGAACCGCTTCCAACGCAAGACCTGAGTTCAAGTTCTACCTGATCCAGAGTTGTTTCATAACATCTCTAAACAAGTTGATTAGAAAATATCAATCCCTTTTTCAGTAAGGAAACCAAAACGTGCACACTACCCTGTCAGAATCTCGCCGAAGTGCTGTACAGGTTTAGCAAGATGACTCTGTTATCATCAAGTACGGTTTGGCAGGGGTTCCTGGTGCTTAATGGAAATGTGGAACAAATGATGGTTATATATGAATTAATGGTAAGATGTGGATGTATGAATATGGGGAAGGGTCTTGTGGTAGTATACGATCTCTGGGCCAGAAGGCCTGAGTTCACATTTCACCTGGTGTGTCATAACATGTCCAAACAGGTTGATTATATGGGGATCAAATAATCGATGTACCTGAAGCCTGTGACTAGACTGTTTAACCAGCATTTTACCCTGTGCTATTTAAGATTCCCGACTTGTATACTGTCTTTCCCCTTTTAATAAACACGAGTATTCTCTTTGCTTTCCTAACCACTTGCTATACCTGTATGGTACCTTTTTGTGAGTTATTGACTAGGACACCCAGAACCATCTGCATGGCAAGACTTCTACATTCTCATTCAAGTTAAATTATATTTTTCTGTTCTTGCTGTCAAAGTGCAAAAAGTTTCCTACACTGTATTCCATCTACAAAACATTTGCCCCCTCATTTCACCTGTATATATGCCATTGTAGATTCTGTCCTCTTGTCAAATTACTTTCCCACCGATCTTTGTGTCGTCAGTAATTTTAGTGACTTTTTTTAAAATCAGTCTGATTATACTTTATGACACACCTCTGGAGCAGATGGGACTTCAACTCAGAACTTCTGGCCCAGAGGTAGAGACACTACCACTAGTCCGCAAGGGCCCTAATTTAGTTACCAATCACTTGGTTCCTTCATGCAGGTAATTTAATGTAGATTGTAAATAGTTGAAGTCTCAGCACTGATCCTTGTGGCACTCCAGTAATAATAGCTTGCCAGTTGAAATTAACCAATTTATCCCCGTTTCTGTTTACTGTTAGTTAACCAATCTGTTTATGCGAAACACGTCACCTCCCACACCATTAACTCTTATTTTATGAAGGAAACTTTGTCGTACATGATTGAATGTCTTTTGGAAATTAAAGTGCATCCCATCTACGAGTTTGGAGTTGGGGACCATGCATAGTGTGTCAAATTTGCGGATGACACTAAGATGAGTTGGAGAGCAAATTGTGCAGAGGAGTTTAGAAGTCTGCAGAGGGATACAGATAGTTTAAGTGAGTGGGCGAAGGTCTGGCGCATGGAATTCAATGTTGATAAATGTGAAGTCATCCATTTTGGTAGGACTAACAGTATAAAGGGCTATTACTCGAATGTTGAAAAATTGCAGCATGCTGCTGTGCAGAGGGACCTGGGTGTTCCAGTGCATGAATCACAGAAGGTTGGTTTGCAGGTGGAACAGGAATTAAGAAGGTAAATGGAATATTGTCCTTCATTGCTGGAGGGATTGAGTTTAAAAGTAGGGAGGTTATGTTGCAGCTGTACAGGGGGCTAGTGAGGCCACATCTGGAGTACTGTGTGCAGTTTTAGTCTCCTTACTTGAGAAAGGATGTAACTGGCACTGGAGGGGGTGCAGGGGAGATTGACTAGGTTGATTCTGGAGTTGAGGGGGTTGGCTTATGAAGAGAGTCTGAATAGACTGGGATGGCATGGTGGTTCAGTGGTTAGCACTGCTGCCTCACAGCGCCAAGGTCTCTGGTTCAATTCCAGCCTCAGATGACTGTGCAAACTCCACACAGGCACAGGGAGAATGGTTTCCTCTGGGTGCTCCAATTTCCTCCCACAGTCCAACATATGCAGGTCAGGTGGATTGGCTGTGCTAAGTTGCCCATAGTGTCTGGGGTGAGTCTGAGTGGGATGCTCTTCAAAGGGTTGATGTGGACTCGATGGAGCAAATGGCCTGCTTCCACGCTGTAGGGATTCTATGATTCCCTTTTGTCCACCTTGCTAGTTTCTTCCTCAAACTATTAATAGGTTAATCAACTGTGATTTTCTTTTCACTAAACCACATTCACTTTGTCTATATTATGATTTTTAATAACCTTACTAATGGATTTAAGCATTTTCCAAATGAAAGATGTTGGATTAATTGGCCTATAGTTTCTTGCTTTCTGTCTCCCTCATTTCTTCTATTGAGGTATTACATTTGTGGTTTTTTGATGCTGGAGCTTGCGCAGAATCCAAGGATCTTGGACAATGACAGCAAATGCATCTACTGTCCCTGCAGCTATTCCTTTTAAGACCCTGAAATGCAGGCCATCAAGACCTGGGGGATTGTTAGGACATTAATACTTAGTTTTACTCAGGACCTTTTCCATGGTATCTTTGATTTTAAGTTCATACTTTCCTTTAATTTCTTTATTTTCAAGATCCTCAGAATTTTTTTTGTCTTCTGCAGTGAAGAGACATAAAATATCTCTTTAATGCTTCTGCCATTTCCTTGTTTGCCAATGTTAATTCTCTAGATTCTCTTTTACATAGTCATTCTTTGCCAATTTTTAAAATCAGTCCAGTCTTCTGACCTACCGCTAATTTTTGCAGTATTTGCATTTGTTCTTCCAATCTGATGCTATCCTTAATTTCTTTAGTTAACCATGAATGGTGGATTCCTCTTATAGTCTTTCTGTCATATTGGAATCTAACTTTGTTGAGAATTATAAAATATCGTCCTGAATGTTTGCCACTGCACTACTGTCTTGCTTTTAACCCACACTTTTCTCTCCCTCAAACCACATGTGAAATTTTACCATAAAAGCTGAAAGAACTGCAGATGCTGTAACTCAGAAACAAAAACAGAAGTTGCTGAAAAATCTCAGCAGGTCTGGCGGCAAAGTTAATGTTTCCGGTCTGCTGACCCTGTCTCAGTACGGAAATTTTATCATGACATGATCACTGTTACCTAGAGGCTCATTTACTATGAGGTCATTAATGCTGTCTCACTATGCACCTACGGGTGTAAAATAGCCTGCTCCCCAGCTGGCACAAGAATGTACTGCTCTTAGAAATTGCTCCAAATACACACAAGAACCAGGAGCAGGAGTATACAATTTGGCCTCTTGAGCCTGCTCTGCCCTCTAATACAATTGTGGTCAATCTTATCTAGGCCTTCACTCGACTTTCTTATCCATTCCCCATAATCCTTTAATCCGTTACGACTTAAAAATCTGTCTCTGCCATCCTCGCATTTATTCATTGACTCTGGGGTATTGAATTCCACAGATTTACAATCCTTTACGTGAAGTAATACATTGAATCAGACCTTCAGCCCACATGCTTATGCTGGTGTATATGAGCAAGGAACAAGAGTAGGTCACTTGGCATTTTGAGCCTGCTTGCGTCATTCAATAAGATTACGGCTGATCTGATTTTAACCTCCACTCTTAAATTCCTGCATATCCCCAAGAATCCTTCATCCCTTTGGATCTCAAGAATCTGTCCCTTAAAATTATTTAAAGATTCTGCATTCGCTGCCCTTTTGAGGAAGTGAATTCTAAAGATACGGAACTCTGAGAGAAAAAATGTTTCCTCATCTCTGTTTTAAATGGAACATACTTTCAATGTCAACCGGTCAAGTCTGCTCGTGATCTTGTGTTTCAAATAAGCCACCTCTGACTCTTCTAAACTCCAGAAGATACAGGCCCAGCCTTTCTCGACCTTCCTCACAAGGCAACCAGCTCATTCCAGGTATTAGTCTTCTGAACCTTCTCTAAACTGCTTCCAGTGCATTAATAACCTTCCACCAGTACGATGGCCAGTACTGTACACATTACTCCAGATGGGGTCTCACCGATGCCCTGAATAATTGAAGCACCCTACTCTTGTTTCTATTTCCTTCGCAATAAACCATTGCTTTCCTGATTACTTGCTGTGCCTGCATACTAACTTTCTATGATTCATGCATTAGGACTCCCAGATGTCTCTATCTCAGAGATCTGCAACCTCTCCCTTTATTCTTTCCGCCAAAATGGACAATTTCACACTTTTCTGCATTGTGCTCCCTTTGCCCACTCACCTAACCTATCTATATCCCTTTGTAAGCTCTTTATGGCTTCTTCAGAATGCACATTCCTACCTTTTTTTTTGTCATGAGGAAATTTAGCTACTATACTTTCGATCCCTTCATCCAAATTATTTACATAAGCTGTGAAGAGTTGAGGCGCCAGTACAGATCCCTGTGGCACGTCATTTGTGACATACCCATCAGCCTGAAAAAGACCCGCTTATTCCTATTCTGTGACTGCTGCTGGCAAGCAATCTTATCAATGCCAATATGTTGCTCTCTATACCATGAGCTTTTGCTTTCCACTGTATCCTTCATGGCATCCATCAAATGCCTTCTGGAAATCAGTTCGATACATCCACGGGTTTCAAATACTGTGAACACACATTGAAGGCTACCTTTGCCAACCTAATTTGTCTAATCTTTATGCAGATCAAAATCACCTTGGGTTATTGCTGTACCTTCTTGGATAGGACAATGTTACAGATGATTTAGAACTTTTTTGTGATCTTACAAACTATGCTGCAGTTCATTGAACTTTGAGCACTGTTGCATATTTTACCCTTCTCAGAGTCTAATAACTTGGAAGAAGGAAGTAATCTTGCAGCACTTGGCTACAATATGTACCTTGAGGTGTATATTAAGGTGACTGAAGTGAAAATTAAATCTGAAACAGGCAGCTGTTAGAGCTTATGACTGTCTTTACATTTCTGTCAGGTGCCTTTGGCTTCTTCGAGGTGACCCATGATATCTCAAGGTACTGCAAGGCCAAATTATTTCATCCAATTGGGAAGAGAACATCTGCATCTGTCCGCTTCTCAACAGTTGGTAAGAGTTCCTCCTCTTCCTTTTTTAGGTTTGGGGTCAATTTTGTTTGCTTCCATTTTTTGTCAAGTGTGTAAGCATGTTTTTCTATATCAAAGATGTTAAATCTGTCCAGATTCCTTTCTGATATTAAATGATTGATTGCAATATGGTGATTCTGGTACTTAATAGTAGGCCAAGAATACAATCTAAAGTTTAAAATCCCACAATGAGAGCTTACAACTCTATTTTAAAATTCAAAGCTGAGATCAGTAAATGAATATGAAACATTTGGATTCTTATGAAAACCTAAGCAATTCATGAGTGTCCTTCTGAAAACTGTCGTCCTTTCCAGATCCATGTGTGAGTCATCCCACACCAATGTGGTTGATTCTTAACTGGTGATTGAAAGGAAAAATAATTTTTTTCCCTGTTAATGTACAAGTTTTGGAAAACATGAGGTTAATTTGCACTGTTTTATTCAGTGTTGTGAGCCAGTGGCAAAACACTTGTCTTGGCTGCATTTCTACTTTATTCTGAACATTGCCCACTCAAGCCATTCAGTTGTTCAAAAGCTGATGCATAAAATTGGTGCCGCCTTTTAGGGCAGTGACGCTCAAGTGCCCAAAATGAATAAATCAAAAGTAAAAGCCTTATCTGATTGTACTGTTCCTTTGAGTCCTGCACTTTATTACTTCTTACCCTGCCTTGGCGTTGGGAACTTATTGTGTGGGAAATTATGTAATTCAATGACTTGTCACATAGCATAGTATTGAGGGGTGTGTCGTGGGGTGTCCGTTTTAAACTTTTAAAAGTACCTACACTACTTTGTATGTTAGTCATATAAAAAAATCAAAAATAAATTTAATATATTCCTATGAATAGCATTGTGGGTCAACCCACAGCTGGAGGACTGCAGTGGTTCAAAAAGGCAGCTCACCACCACCTTCTCAAAGGCAACTAGGCTTGGGCAAGAAATGCTGGCCAGCCAGCACTGCCCAGATCCCACAAAATGAATAAAAAAATTGAAATGGTTGGCATTTCAATCTGAGATTTTAGATGTTGGCCCATGTATGAATTAAAGACCTGACAATCAGGATAACCATGTTTAAGATGCACTGAGACAGATACCCAAACAGGCAGGGAATAGAGGGATGTGGAGCATGTACAGGCACATTGGATTAGTTTAGAATGGCATCGTGGTCGGCACAGACATGATGGGTTGAAGGGCTTGTTCCTGTGCTGTACTGTTCTATGTTCTAATTCTCTGCAATCCTGCTATTTCATAGCAGCCCAACTAATGACATGTTATGTCATACTGCACAGTCTCAATTTTATAAAATAAACAGTTCTACAATACTTTTTTTAAACAAGTGAATATAGTTTGAAGAAATACTCAAAACCAAAACAATGTCTTGCTTTGCAGACTGTTACTGGATATTTAGACGTCTTTATCTGCCTGTACATGGAGTGAACAATTTGTATGGAAATCTATGCTACACTTCAGAAATTTGCATCTTAGTTTGTTTATCTGAAATCACAAAGCCTCCCTTGTTTCTTGTAGGCATTTTCTTTTTGCCAAAAGACGGAAACTGCATATTGTAAAGTTAAATATAGTAAAATCTCAGCTCTATAAACACACAACAAATGGTTTCCTGAGTATAAAACTAATGTCAGCAGGAATCTACAGGTCTACCTGCATGACATCTTGTTTTAAATAAAAACTTGACATTTTTCTTCTTTTAAGAAAATGGTGAAAATAAATCAATAGGAAGCCTGGTTCAGCCACATCTGGAGTATTGTGTCCAGTTCTGGTCACCTCATTAAAGGAAAGATGTGGAAGTGTTAGAAAAGGTGCAGAGGAGATTTACCAGGATGTTGCCTGGAATGGAGGGAAGGTCTTTTGAGGAAAGGTTGAGAGAGCTAGGGCTTTTCTCTTTAGGACAACGAAGGATGAGAGGTGACTTGATTGAGGTGTACAAAATGATCAGAGGTATAAATAGAGTAGACAGCCAGAGACTTTTTCCTAAGGTGGAGGTAGCTTTTACAAGGGGACATAGTTTTAAAGTGAAAGGAGGTAGATATCGGGGAGACGTCAGAGGTAGGTTCTTTACTCAGAGAGTGGTCGAGATGTGGAATGCAATGCCAGAGAGGGTAGTGGAGTCGGCTTCGTTAGGGGCATTTAAGCGGCTATTAGATAGGCATATGGATGATAGTATAAGGTAGCGGTGGAGGTTAGATAGACCTTAGGTTTAGGGTAGAAGTTTGGCACAACATCGTGGGCCGAAGGGCCTGTACTGTGCTGTACTGTTCTATGTTCTATGGGATTCTGTGACGAGTTATGGAATAGTGCAGTTGCCCTCTCAGCACAAGGCATGCTAAATAAGAAGTGATAAAGGGCAGTTTCTCTCAGCTACACTAGTGGTTTCAGAATAACGATGACAAAGGCCTGCACTGTTGACTTTATTATCTATAAGGAATCATCTCTTCAGTATATGCTGTAGAAAGTTAACATTGTTATGTTTTGGCATAGCTTAGGCCACACCGATTTCAGTACAGTTTTCTTGGGGTATGGTGTTGGTTGATTCTGAAGGTTGTATTATCTTGAACTAGTCTGTTAGTTTGATAGTCAGCAGTAGGCATTACCGTAATGTGTAATACATCTGTAAATTACATTGGCATGCCAGTACTTATAAGCATGGGGACTGTCAGGCAGTCAGAAATATGGCTTTCTGCTGGAATAGAAAACTTGTAATGTTGTGTTCATCCTGTATGCAGAATTCCAGCAGAAGTTGACCATTACCATTTCACATGCTAATGCCATGTCTGCCTTGGAGTTTTTGCTAACCCCTTCTGTCACCCAAAAGGAAAGGTCCATAAACAAAGAAACTATAAGTCCATAGACTCTTAGCTATCAGAAATAAAAACAGCTTTCTCTGCAGGCTGGAAGACAGTTTCTGCAGTCATCTGTGAAATAGTGCTGACCCAGCACAGCAGTTGGGAACAATTGAAATCTGTCTTGAAATAAACAACAGCAGTGGAAATGATTGACTTCTCAATCCAGGAGGAGCCAAGATTGGTTTGATGAAAATAAATTAAAATCCAAGAGTTTTTTCCAAGGAACCAGGAAAGCAATTTATCAGTTTGGAACAAACGATGATAAGACCATTAAAGGCAGCAGAATATGTTTGCTTGTTCTATAGCCTTTTGATATCAGGAGTTCCTGCTGGTCAAGTGTTTTCCAGCTACTCAAGTCAACAATGATCTTGCAACTGCCACAAAGATGAACCTTTCCTTGAATTTTATCTGGAAACCATATGCTATCATCATCATCACTTCACTTCAATTTTCAATTTACTCCTTCAAGTCTATCACTTGATGTCTTAATCTTAAAGATTCTAATATAGTGCTATTTTGCCTCTGTGTTAGTATTGATGTCTGATCTGATCTATTTATAGGGGGTGAAGCAGGTTCTGCAGACACAGTCCGTGACCCTCGAGGATTTGCATGCAAGTTTTACACTGAGGAGGGAAATTGGGATCTAACTGGTAACAACACCCCCATCTTCTTCATTCGGGACCCTTTCTTGGTTAGTGATTGCTGAAGGTAGACATTAAATGCCAGTGCTGATATTTCTTCGAAAAACAAATCTGTTAAACGTTATGGAAAAATAATTGCTCCCATAACTTTTTGATTGCATTTCTCCAACTTTTCAAGTACTTTTATCTTAGGTATATTTTACTAAAATCTTTTGTATGAATCTGTTAGCTAAAATGTTTTGTGTTAAAATGTTTGAATTTTGGGACCATTATCTTGAGCTCACAAAATGTTCTGTCCAGAATGTTGCACTTACAAAAATCATTGAGGTCATCAACACACACTCCATTCTTAAAATAAATGGGATAGCCACTTTTGATCCCTGTAGAAATCAAGACGCTACTTGAGCTGCAATGCTGCAGACGTTTCACTTGTAGCGATACCTTGCTAAGAAACTCATTACTGAAATACATAGAAGGGAAGGTATTTCCAATATGATTGCAATAGATAACTACAGTAGTCATCAGGAAAGCCTCAGTTTTTCAAAAGTGAATTTATTTCTCTCATCTGTGTGCTTTGTCATGATTATTTAAGAACAACCTCTCTGGTACTGAAAATATAACTTTTATATGAAGACTCAATCCTTCAGATTGTTAGGAAGTATGAAAATAATGTTTTTCTTTGTCTTATCTCACTCAGTTCTGTTTCTTTTAATTGTGCTATACCGCATAGATCTGTTCACTTCTGATTGATTGGATATACATGAAGTTGGATCATCATCCTCACACAGCTTCTGCAGCATTTAACAAGGGAGCCAGGCTGTTTTGGGCACTTGTTAGCATAATGAAAGGCTGACTCAATTCGTTCTCCACTAACTACAGAATCTGGGTTGTACGTTGTACTCTGAGGTGTAAAGAAGATTTTGAAGTTTCCATAAAATTGATAATGCCATAGGGCCTCAGTAACATTTTCAGCGAGTTGGAGGTGCTAACTGGAGTGCCTCTTTCTCCAGAAAACTGCTCAACTGTGATGGGAACATGTATGGGGCTGGGGAGGTGGTGCATTAAGGTATATTGTTGAAGTTAGAAGATTTCTCTTGCAGATGGTTGTAAGACTTATTGAAATTTATCATTAAAGTATTTTGTTTGCTTTTGGGGAGTGATTCCTATATGTATTTATTATGGCAATTAGATAACTAAGGTTATTAACCAGTAATTATATCCCAACGTATGCAGTGATGTCGCTAGTAAGAAGAGGGTGTAAATTAGTCTATGGCTAGTTTACTTTGGTAGTTTCCATTACAAAAATGCACGATGGAAAAATGTTCATCGAAAGTAAAATTTAAAATCACGAGGGTCTGTAGGGTTTGCCTCTCTGATTCTGCTGCTTTCTCTATCTCCTCCTCCTCCTCCTCCCCCCCTCTTTTCACTGTCTTCTATGTCCTTGTCTTTCATTGCAGTCTTCCCTCTTTGCTTTATTTTGACAATTGTCATGAGAAATTTATGATTTTCCCTCATTGCTGCTTATACATTATCTTTCTTGCACTCTCAAAAATACACAGGATTCAAAATGAAGAGTCGCAAAGGTATGCAATCAGAAGCTTTACTTTTAGTTTTTTTTTGCAATATATAATTTGACTTTGAAGCTTTTGGAATTAGCCCTTCTGTAGGGCAGACCTGGTGGAAACTAATGATTGTATATTTTGTAATACAGCTGCTTGAACATCTTTTGTGTCCTGAAAAAAAAGTGTGTTTAAACATGTAATTCACCTACAAGCTGTATCGTAGCTGTAGAAAAACATGTTAACTGCAAGCCCAAATTTCTGGGATAGGCAAAGGCCTTCAGATATAGACATTTCTGCAAACGAATGTTCCAAATAATGGACACATTTAGTTGAGTTATAGTGAAATATGTAACTTTTATTTTGTTACCCTATTTTGAATTGACAAAACCCATTACTGAGAGAAAAATTCCAAATGAAAAGCAATACCAGAAAACCTATTGGCTGAATTATGGAATCAGACTGGCTAACTTCGGTTGGTTTATACCATTATAAATATGAACATAATTGTAATGGTAAAAGTTCTAAAAGTTAAATCTGAAATTTTATATTTTTTACAGTTTTTTGTTTGATAAAATGGTGCTTTTTCAGAGTGGTATATATGTTCATGTTCCTCTTTCTCGCACTGTCTATTTTCAGTTTCCTTCATTTATCCACACCCAGAAGAGGAACCCCCAGACACACCTAAAGGATGCAGACATGACCTGGGACTTTTTCTCACTTCGTCCAGAGACGCTTCACCAGGTGAGAATTTTACTTCTTGGGCAGCCCTTTAAAAGGATTGAGCTGTCTGAGAGCAGGTATTAATTGTAGTAAAACCTGTGTACCGGTAGATCAAACGAATCAGCACAATGAGGGCACTTAAAATGCGTCTGAAAATTTGGCTGAAAAATCTGAAAGTTTGACACTTCAGAGCGAAGCATTTTCTTTACATTTTGTTATATAGATTGTGAATCCATATTTATTTTGATGGTCTGTATGTGGCTTATAATATTTGGAAGTATCTTAAGAATGAAATTTCCAGTTTGCTTTCCATTTTCTTTGCTTTGAGTGTTGAGAAACTTTTTTGGAAATGAGAGATATCATGTCATAAATCAGAAAAAAGAACTGAGATTACACGATTTCAAAATGCTTTGAGAATGTGCAAAAGTATAAAAATTGAACAATAATCTTCAAAGTACTGATGGAGACCAAATGCTGCCATATGGGACTAGATTTTTATGATGTCAGGTCAGCGTGGACAAGTTGGACTGAAGGATCTGAACGAACTTGAAAGAAGACAAGTAAAATAGTGCAAATCTGAAATGAAGCTACAAAGTTTGATAAATACTCAGCAAATCTGACAGCCACTGTGGGGAACAAAACTGTCATTGTTTTGAAGTCTGTGACTTGTTGACAGAACTACAAAAAGTTAGAAACGTAACAGGTTTTAAGCAAATGAAAGGATGGAAGGGTGGGAAAATGGAAGGATACAAGAACAAAAAGGAAGGTCTGTGTTAATTTAACAGATGGAGAGATTAAATGGCAAAAGATCTAGGTGCCAAAGGGATGGTACTAGGACAAGAAAAGCAATAACTGACTGTATGAATGGCTGCTCTCTGAAAGCAAACAACCAGGACAAACCAGCAAAGAGAAGGAAAAACAAGATGATGAAAGGATTGCAATTTGAAATTCATGAACTCTGAAGTCACATGACACCCAGTTATAGTCCAACAGGGTGCTCCTTCATCAGGTGAAGTAAGGGAAGCACACAGACACAGAATTTAAAGGTAGAGAGATAATGGCAAGGTAATTCCAGATAATTGAGTATCTACATGTAAGTGTGAGTGAGGTGTTGATGGGCTGAACAATGAGTCTTTGCAGGTGGTCAGAAGTATCAAACTGCAAGTAAAGTAAAGTGAAGGGATGACCTATGAACTGATTTAATTAAGGCAGAGAGATATTACAAAAGATCAAAAATAAGATAGTACTAGAGACAAACCAAATGGCTGGAATACTACGATAGGTATCAGAGTCTCATGATGGTCTAACCAAAGTAACAAGTAATCAAACTGTACAAAGTAATTAAGGTAAAGAGGTAATAACAAGTTATCAAGGTAATGGTGTCAAACAGAACAGTAAGGAAGATTTTACAAATACTGAACAGTATGGTGGGTTACATACAGCGCGACTTCAACCCAAGATCACAGTTGAGGCCATCCTCGTGGGTACAGAACTTGGCTATCAGTTTCTGCTCAGTGATTCTGTGTTGTGTATCTTGAATGAGTTTGGAAAGCTGTAAAGTGCCTAATTGAAAGATAATGTAACATTGCTCAACTTTGCACTGAGCTTAATTGAAGCACTAGCATTCAAATGAAAAATTTTCAAAGCATTGAGAATCTTTGAAATAGTTTTCTAGCTTGGAAAGCTGGTAAAGATGGATTGTTGGGGCCAAGGGGTGGAGAATCCATTTCCAGCTTTCTTCTCCAATACAAGTACAGCCTATTTCCATTTAACTTCAGGCTGAACGGCTTAGTATAAATAAATGTCTCTGACAGGAGAGTCATATTCATAGTCATAGACATCTGCTGCACAGAAAAAGCTCCTTCAGCCCATTGACTCTGCGCTGGTCAAAAACAACCACCTAACTAGTCTAATCCCATCATCTGGCACTTGGCCCATAGCCCTGGCATTACAAGTGCACATCTAAATAATTATAAAATGTTACGGGGGTTTCTGCCTCTGCCATCCTTACAGGCAGTGAGTCCCAAATACCTACCATCCTCTGGGTGAAGAAATATATTCTCACATCCCCAACTAAGCCCCCTGACAAATCTGTGCCTCCTGGGTAAGTGTTTATTCCTGTCTGTGCCCATCGCAATTTTATACATCACAATCATGTCTCTCTTTCTCTCCCCGCCACCCCCCACCCAAGCTCTCTTCTGCTGCAAGGAAAACAGCCCCAGTCTATCCAATCACTCTTCATAATTAAATCTCTCCAGGCCAGGCAACATCCGGTAATCTTCTCTGCACCCTCTCCAGTGCAGTCTCATCCTTCCTATACTGTGAATTCCAGAACTGCACATATGGTATGCAGAACGTGAGAATTAGCAGCTCCGATGTGTTAAATCTGATTCAGTTATTGCACTTAACTCTCAGTTTTCAGAACTGGCACTTTGATTTTGACTTTGTTCAGGTTTGTCACTGCTGTTATCTTTGTGATATCAGCTGGATTGTGAGCAGTCTGTTTTCTTGGATTCTACAGATAAATAGTTCAATATGATATTTTTTCAATATTTTTACTTAATCTGTTTCTAGTATCCTGACTGCACCTTACCAGTTATTAGGGTGGATGGGAGACCCACTGTTGAGTCTGCTTCATCTGTTATGATGTGCATTGGATGTTTTTTTGGATGCATTTTTTTCTGCTTGATCCTAGGTTAGCTTCCTGTATAGTGATCGTGGAATTCCTGATGGATATCGTCACATGAATGGGTATGGGTCACATACCTTCAAGCTTGTAAATGACAGAAAAGAAGCCGTCTATTGCAAATTCCATTTCAAGGTACAGTAAAACGTACTGACTTGTGGTTAAACTTTGGGTGGCAGAGGTTAGCGTTTAGACTCACATAGCTAATTTTTTAATGAATGAGTTTTGATCTAGCTACTGTGATTTCTAATTACAAGCATAATGAAGCTGTGTTGATAACCTGAGTAAGATTTTGTGCTAATCTCTCCAAGACTAAAGACTGCATAAACTATGGATTTACCACACCATTGCATCTGTAGCATGTCAGTTTAGTTTGGGAAGAGGCTAATGAAGGAGTAGTTCTATTTATCTTGAGAATTAGTTCGAGATTACTCTCTGGAAATAACATCACGTCAGCACAGCTGGCTAAGAAATGGGGAGTGATTGTGGTAAAACTGTATAGTTTTCTGAATCGTTTTAATTTTAGTTTGAATATCTAAATCATCTCAGTTACTGTGTTTAAGAGAAATGAAGGCAGACAAAATATGATGTCCTAACATTTCAAAGTCTAAGGCAGATGTGCATGATAAAATTTTTAACAATGAATGATTTTTCACAGACAAATCAAGGCATCAAAAATCTTACTGTCGAGGAGGCTCGCCAGCTGGCCACTGATGACCCTGACTATTCCATTCGTGATCTCTACAATGCTATTGCAACTGGAAATTATCCATCCTGGAGTCTCTACATCCAAGTAATGACTTTCCAGGAAGCACAAGTGCATCGGTGGAACCCCTTTGATGTCACTAAGGTCAGCTAAAACATTTTGCAAATTATAGCATACTTGAAGATAATAGTTTCCTAAGGCGGTCAAGGCTGTGGGCTCTTCTCAGTAGAAGAGCACAATTGGGGTGTGGTCAATGCTGACTAAATTTCCCAAGCTAAATGCCAGGCACATTGGATATTAAACTATTAAACCACCCCCCATCAGGATGAAACTACTGTGAACTTCTGAAATTACAACACCATTTAAACATTTGAGGATCATTAGAAACTTGTACTAAAGTATAAACTTGTAGCAAGTTCCTTAATCCTACAAAGAAAGCAATTCTGTTTGATTTTTAAAATGCTTTTTCAATACAAAACAAAAGGGAAATATAATTGGATCAGACTTTGTCAGCCAAGAGATTATTTAGTTGGTAATTTTTTTCTCGTTGCCCATAAATCAGATCTGTAAGTGGTGTATGTTCTATCAGAGTTTGATCTTGCAGCATTTCCACTTTTTTTAAAAAAAGCATAACCTATTACACATGAGATCCTCAGTTTGCGGAGATCCTACACAGAGACATCAGTGATGGGGTGATAGAGCTGGATAGAGGTATGTTGCATAGCAAATTGTTTCAGTTTGCTGTCCCTCATTTTCTATAAACAAGTTGTTTCTCTTATTCCTCTGTTTTAATGACTGCTTCAGTGTGCAGAGAAAAGTTCTACACTAGTGTGTGAAAATTGATGGAAGAGGTAAGAATGTGACTGGCACATTTAATGGCAATATGCTTCATAGCAAAGGGAGAAAAATGTAGGGTGCTGCTGGATATCACGTAATGCTTTCTTCACTATCTCCAAACAGAGAACAAAGCTAATGTTGAAATATGCAGCTGAGTGATAGAGATGTTGAGTTGTTAGTTTAAGCTTTGTTGAAGTTGCCTCTGAAGCATTGTGCTCAGTTTTGCATTCCATACTGCAGAAAAGATATTGAATCATTGGAGAGTCTCCAAGGTTGACCTTGAGGCTGTTTTTTTTTTTAAAGTTTTTCAATAGCTGCATTGATGATAAAAACTTACCCAACTTGAGCAGTTGGGAAGGGAGCACAGTAGAGGCCGTTAAGTAGGATTTTGATTAAGGAAAGCTCTGAGTATGTGGAATCGAAGGGATTCACTTAATGTTAAGAATGTTAAGATATAAGTGAACTAACTTTTTTTTGTTCAGCAAAAGGACAATGGATTTGATAAACCAGTAACCTAGAATGATGATCTCCTAGGAAACCCTTGGGCTTTAATAAAGGAAATGGAGTACAGTATTTCTGGCTTCTTAAACTAAAAGAAGCCGATGAGAGGTTCGACATGGTTGGCAAGATGAACGGTTGTCTTCTATGCAAAAAAAAGTTTGTTTTTTTCCCTTTTTAGTTGCAAGTATCTTTCTGTTTCTTCCCAGGTTTGGCCTCACAAGGAGTTCCCACTAATCCCTGTGGGACAGTTGGTCCTCAACAAGAACCCAGTCAATTATTTTACAGATGTAGAACAGATAGCTTTTGATCCCAGCAACATGCCACCGGGCATTGAACCTAGCCCTGATAAGATGCTGCAGGTATGGTTAAATATGTGGGCTTATTAAAAATGTTAATTATAGAGAGGGTGCAACTCCATTTAATGTTAAAATTAACTTCCTCTGTTATCTTCTTTCCCAGTCCAGAGATTTTTTTTGTCTTGATGCAGTACTACAATGCAGTTCCACTATTTTGAAACTGACTATTCAGAAGCAAGTGGGAGCAACCTAGGTTGCTCCATCAGCATTTTTTTACTCTGTTCATGGTTACAATCAAGACCTGTGTTTTATCTGCCACAGTTATGCTGTTATGTTCCTGAGCTAGATACCCAGAGCTCAGATCATTCTGACAACATGATGCCTGCAAAGAAATTACAGTTAAAAATCACTGGGTTTTGGTGGTTCGTCATAAAGGTCCTGAGGGGATTTCCTTCCTATTCTGGACTGTATGCATCTCTAGTTCTAGATTATGCGATCAACTCTTTAACGATTTGAGGCTAACTCAGGGTGAGCAAGGAATACCCTCCCTAACATGTCTCATTCCTGTTATGGATATACTGAAAACAGGAGGAAAAATTATTCAGCAGGCCTATTCCCTGGGCCCTCAGTCAAATAAGTTGATAAGTACAATGCTAGGCTGGGCTGCACAGATCTTAAGACCGAAAGGTGAGTGAGATCATTCAGCATAGATTGAATTAGTGATTGAAAATGCACCTAATGTGCATTTTTCTCCTCATGCTGTGGACTTGTCTATTGAGTGAATAAGGGTATTCCCATTGGAATTAAACATTGAATAAATTGTTAAACTTCCCCTTCACAAGCTCTGATTATGCCTTCTGTTCATTTGAAGTAGTGTATTTGCCTTATATTCCTCTTTTTATCAATACACTTTCTCTGAATGATCTTGTTATGCTTTTGTTTCTGTTAGAATCCTAACTGCTTTTAGCTAGGTAAATATTCACATTGTTCCTGGAACCAAACCTCTGTGTATTTCATTTGCTGACCATGTTGGGTAATCCTCCCTGTCTTTGCACAGCAGCAGAACAGCTTTGCAATAAAGTTCAATTGCTAATCAAACTTGTTAAACAGTAATGGGATCCACTTAGAGCAACAGTAATGTTTATGGAAGTAATTAAGTTTATTCTGATCCTCAGTTAATCAGAAGTAATGGATTCCCACATCATTTTCAAAGTACTGCACAAGTAATATCTTTTCTCAGATTCCATAAATAATATCACTTTCACCACAGAGAAACCTCTCCAGAATTAAAGAAACAGAAGTTAATAAAATGCCTTCAAAACGTAACTAGGAAGCTATCAACTGAAAGTAAAGGGTGCTTCTAATTTTAAGAACATTGAATAATCCTGTAGGATGTCTATATCTGAATTGATTGGCTTACTTGGTTTATCACTGACACCAGGCACTAATTTAGCAACAGTTGACAGAATGAGCTCTAATATTTTTCTGTGAATGAAGCTGGCTTTTTGCATTTCTCCCAATGACCTGCTTCAGATCTCAAGTGCTTTTTGTCAGTTTTTCTTTTGGGACAGTGTTTCAGCATTGTACCTCTCCTGTACGCTACCTCCATAACTTGGATATTTTGCTGACCAAAACACGATTCATTGTGAGATTTGGCTAGGACATCAAGTTTAAGGTGAATCTTCTAGTTTATACTGTTCTGACCTCTGGGTACAATTAAGTTATCTAGTTACTTTGTTTAGTGTCACTCTCTAATATGACATTAAATGTTGGGTTTGCTATTACTCCAATCACTTCCTGCTTCTCCTTCAGCTGTTTCTGAGCCAGGGCCTTGCTTTTGATTGTTATGGCAAGGGTACTCAGTTCTATATTAGCTTCTGAAATGTGCATTTTGTGCCAAACCTGTGAAGACTTTCAACATTAATGTCGATACAGTTACACATTTTCATGATGTTGCCCCATTATTTTTGGCCAATCTGCTATGAAACAGCAGCAAACACTGTCTTTTCCTTTCCCCTCCATTTGCATTGGGAGACTATTACTTTTTCCACATGGTGTCACTGAGATTGGGAATATGATGTATTGTGGAGAAATTTGGGATTAATCAGCTTTCTGTAGTTCTAGGTGTTTGTTAATGCATCAATTCACCGCAAATAAGGTTGATAACATTCATACCAATTCCATTTACATTGTCACCTTACTACCTTTTTGAATGTCTGTTCTAAATGTTCTTGGCTTCTTCATTCTAAAGTGTTCCTTTGTGGTGTGGGATAAAATTGGTTTAGTTTCTTTTGATCTTTCTGATTGGGACAGAATAGGAAGCAAAATGATGGACCTGCATTATGTTGTCAGAAGGAAATGAGATGATCAGAAAGAAGGGGACAGGAACTAGACTGCCAAGCTTTAAACTGATTGTTAAAATCAGTTTTAATGAACCAAATTTTGCTCCCTGATCTCTTATCTAGGTTAGATGGGCTTCAGATTGGTTTCACAGGTCGGCGCAACATCGAGGGCCGAAGGTCCTGTACTGCAGTGTAATATTCTATGTTCTATCTTTATAGTTGTATCCCCCCAGCTGATCTAATTGTATGTGCTGGCTGTATATACAACTGGGGCCAGTTGTGTTTGGAGGCTTTTATCACTTTTTGCTTAAAATAAAAGTCTTCTCGGTTTTAGAATTTTTCGATTTTAAACTTTTGGAAGTGATATTCTCAGTAGAAAGTAGTTATAAATTCTTTCCCTAGTAATGTAGAGTCTGTGTAAACAGATGTATAGCTACTGTCATTTTTCTCCCAATTCTTTCTTAGGGTCGCTTGTTTTCATATCCTGATACTCATCGCCATCGCCTGGGTCCTAACTACCTTCAGCTTCCTGTGAACTGCCCATTTAAGTGTCGTGTAACTAACTACCAGAGAGATGGACCCATGTGCTCAACTGATAACCAGGGTAAGCTTTCCATCTTCCTTTAGTAGGATCAGCTTTTGTACTAGATCAGTTGTCTATCTCAGATTTAAAATTAACAAAATTTTGTTAAGCAAAGGGATTATGGGCCAAAGGCAGGTATATGGAGTTAGGCCACAATTCAGCCATGAGTTCGTTGAATAGTGGAACAGACTAGAGGGGCCTACTTCAATTCCTATGTTACTACTCAGTCTGGTTGTTATTTTTAAACGTTGACCCAATAATTTACACTGATTCTATAACATCATTGGTGCTTCTGAGCATGGTGGGTGAGTAGCAAATTTTTACTGCCGTGTCATAGGCATGTTCAAGGCATGTTCCTGTTCCAAAGGCAAAATATCATTGGGTTGCCTGGTTTTGCTGTCCATTGGCAACCCGTGTGCAGGTGATCTCTTCTTGATTATAATGGTGTGAAGGCCACAAGACTTTTCATTTTTGAATACGTAGCAGGTGTGAGTCACTGCAGTGATGGTGAGTGTGGAAGTGTTGTTGTCCTGCAGCTCCTCACGGTTGCCACTGTCTTGGCTGCTGGAGAGCAAACAGCACGTGAATTGAATTGATGTTCATGCGCCCTGTTATGCTAAGAACCCTATGTGGATGTAGAATACTATGAAGTGGAAGAATAGGGTCCAGCAAAATAGGAGAAATATTTTTAGCAGTGGAGGAATTCACAGCACAGAAGGGAAGTTACTTCGCCCATAATGTCTCTGCAGTCAAAAAACCCCATTAAACTCCGCTTTCAGATTCTGTCCCGTAATCCTACAGGTATTACTCTAAAAGCGTTTGAATATAACTTCAGAGTTCAGCGAAAGGTTTTGTCTCTATCACACTCTTGCAGACTATGACTCACAGATCCCTGTCTCTCTCGGGGTGAAAGAAAATGATCATACAATCCCCTCTAACCCTTGCACCAATTTATTTTAGTTTGTGGTCCCTAATTATCGACGTGTATGCTAAAGAAAATAGGACCATTTCCAACCACACTCATTCAGAGCTCTCACAATTTAATACGTCTCAGTTAAATCTCCACGTAGCCTGTTCTGTGCCAAAGTAAACATCGCAGTTGATACAATCTTTACTCAGTTAAAATTTTCCCAGTGCTGACCACATTCTCATAACTTTCATCAAATTGTCTCTGATTTAAATCTTAGCAGGCCTCGTGTATTCTCCAAGGTTTAAAAATTGATCAAATTGGGCTTTCAAAATGTCATTGTCGTTAATTAGGCGCCAGTGAGAATTGCTCTAAATTTATTTCTTTCAAACAAAGCACATCTATTCAGTGTAAAAGCAAGGACATATCGTACTGTTTTCATAACAATTGCCGTTTAATCCCATGTGACCAACAGATCAATGCAATCCTGCTGAACTTCACATGAAAATTAAACAAATTTTTGAGCTCATTTTTGCCTTTTACTAGGCAGCAATGGAAGGTCACTAATGCCCTGGAGGCATCTGTGTAATTCGAATTCCATATAAGGTTGTGGAGGCAACTGGTTGAGGTATAGCTTTCAACAGCATGCAACTAAACTGTCTGAACTCTTGTATATCGGTTTAGTTGTTTATTTTTCAATTGTAAATCCCATTATCACTGGATAGAGCCTGGAGTCCAAAGAACAAGGTCTCATTATATGGTAAGATCTATTGTGTGATAAGGGTGGCAAAACATCACTCGTGGACTTGCAGGAAAACTAGTTTTTCCTTGCATGATTTCAGTCACACTGAACATAAATACTTCAACTTCTGTTAGTTTTCATGACCTATTATTAAGTAAAACAGCTGACCTGCTATTTTGTTTCTGCTAAGAGAGACTTGAATTGCTTGCCTCATGAATGTGAAGATAAATTGCAGGGAAATTCCCTGAGGTACTGTTATGTTTTGGAGAATTGCCGGCACAGCAACGTGTACTGTCACTTTATTATCTAAAATCATTCTTTTGACTTATCGTACTTGAATCATTCTAAAGCTGTGCTAAATGGACAAATTAAAGGCTTCTTATAATCCAGACAATGTATCCTCTCCTGAAACTGACAATTAACACCGATGCCACTTGGTGCATGTAGACTTTTCATGGGAAAATTTGGATTGGCAGTGGCAACGAGTTAGCTGACAAGTGGAGCATCACTGCCCTCGCTCATGTCCTCTCCTAAAGAAAGTAATCGTATTGTAAAAATAAAACCGGATTTCTTTTTCCTCTGATGTAGGTGGTGCACCAAACTATTATCCAAATAGTTTTAGTGGCCCTGAAACTCAGCCTCTAGCCGTGGAGCACTCTTTGGCTATAATGAAGGATGTTGCTCGGTACAACAGTGCCAATGATGATGATTACTCTCAGGTAAGTGTAGTAGAACTTCACTGCATGAAAATTCTGTTTTTCTTTCTCCTTCTCTGGTTGTCATCTACCCCACCCCTGCCACTCCTCACCTTCACACAGCAAAAAATGCACATCATGCTCACTAACCCTTTTTGTTGATCGTTTCCTAGTGTTCTAAGGTTCTGAGTGTACGTGAGGTTAGGATTGTTTCTATATGATGCTGGGTCATTTGCTACGTGCTGCTTTTGTAAATTGCAAAGCAACCAGCCATAACCTCACAATGGGAAACTGAGCAATACAGCTTTTAGCTAACTTAAATGACTTGCAGTGTTTAAATAAGATTCATACTTCTCCACTACTGCCAAATTGTACCTGGTATACAATTTCACAAGTAGAGGTAAAAGTAGAGATAGGGAGAGGGATGGACTGTAACAAAACACAGTTACGATCTGTAGCTATAACCTTAAGCAAAGAGAAAGCAAATGGTAGTTTAGAACAGTGCTTCATTTAAACCAGAGCACAAGCTGTGCTCACCATGTTTATCTGTACATTGGTATTATGTCATGGGTTTTCCACGAGGATATTATAACTAAATGAGGAGATGCAGTCACATGGGACCTGGCTGAATTGTAAGTCACCTTATTATTTATTTATCTCTTAGGACTTAGGTACGATCCAACCCAGAATAGGTCAAAAGGATACCCATAATTTATAAAAGTTTCAGCACATACCTTTTATATGTGTGTGTATAGCACAAAACAGACCCTTATTTCACAATGACAATATAGTCTTTGATAAGGATTTCTAGTGTGGGAAGTGGAAATGACATGTTATAGTAAGCATTAACTGATATTCAATGATTTGCACTAATGCTTAAATGTGACACAGTGCTGTCGGAAACAATTTTGATGTTTCTGTAGCTGAACTGGCGGCTCAGTGGTTAGCACTGTTGCCTCACAGTGCCAGGGACCCGGGTTTGATTCCAGCCTTGGGTGACTGTCTGTGTGGAGTTTGCACATTCTCCCCATATCTGCGTGGGCTTCCTCTGGGTGCTCTGGTTTCCTCCCACAGTCCAAAAATGTGCATGGTAGGTGGATTGGCCATGCTAAATTGCCTATCGTATCCAGGGATGTTTAGGTGAGGTGGGTTAGACATGGGAAATGTAAGGGTAGGGGAATGGGTCTGGGTGGGATGCTCTTCGAAGGGGCACTGTGGACTTGTTGGGCCGAATGGCCTGTTTCCACACTGTAGGGATTCTGTGAACCTTGGTGATGTTGAGAAACTGGCCGAGGGCTCTCATCACTATTTTAACAATTGTAGTTTACTTGAGTATTGATATCTACCAGGAAATTAACAACCGTCAAAGTGTGCATTTACGATATTCAACAGTTTTATGGAGTTTCAGTTGGTCATCAACCTTTTGTATTAATTTAGGTAATAGCATTTATCAGGCAGTCATAACCCTGACTGATCCAGATGTCAGAGTTAAGATACATGTTATGCCAGTTAAGCGTTAGCTCAGTGGTTGCATTAGTACGTAAGCTAGATCAAAATCCTCAGTTATTATCAATAAATGTTTTAACAAGCTTAAAGGTTCAGTGCAAAATCTTCCAGAAGTGCAGCACTCATTTGTCCACCACGTTACTACCTGTTTTGTTAACATTCTTACAATTTGCTTTCCTAGGAGGAGGGATTTTTCACTTGTCCCAATATTACTGAGATAAGACCTGAGCGCTCATTGTGATTGGCAAAGTCCAAGGTTTAAAAACTATATCTTTCCCAGTTGATGATACTTGATGCCATTTGTATAGTGCGATGGAATCATGGAATCCTATAGCACTGAAGGTGCCATTCACCCTATCATTGCTATACCAGCTATTTTAAAATATTGTCCATTAGCCCATTTGACTGCTGCAAAATTTAAAATTCTGATTGTTTTATGCTGCCACGTTGTTGGTATTTGTATTCGGATGAGCTCCTACAAGCACTATTTGCACAGCTTTTGAATTTTCATGAGATTTCTGTCCGGACTAGGTAACTACATTTTATCTGCAAGTGCTGAATGCAGATGAGCGTCGAAGACTCTGTGAGAACATAGCAGCCCATCTCAAGGATGCTCAGCTTTTCATTCAGAACAGAATGGTGAGTTGAACATTATTTGGATAAGTTTAGCTTCTCTTGGTTGTTACAGAAAAGAAAACTGACACCTCATCAAATTTTATAAATGTCATAAAACCAGTTGGCCTCTGATAGGAGCAACAGTTCCCAAGAATCCCTTCAGGAGGTGACTTTTCTGTAACTGCCCAGTGATTTAATTTTCCAAGTATTTTGCTGGCTTTTAAGGACAAATTCACACGATCCCATGTATTTTGAGTCCTGCATAGTGACTTACTGAACTCGATATTTCATTGTTGGGCAAACCTTGTTGAAATCTGTTGCTTCTTCACGTAAAAGGGTGGTTTATAGAAAGAGTCACCAAGAGCCCAGGTCTACCAGAAAGAAAGACTTGCACTTTTGCCTGTGTTGAATTTTGGTACGTAGTCTGACCTCTCCAGGAAAGATCTGTGCCACAAAGAAATTCAGAAATGTATTGTGAGGAAGGCTGTTATTATGTAAAATGCTGCTGTTCAAGCGCAAAAGTGTATTCATGATTGTAGTCATTGTCTTTCTAGGTGTGTCTGTTAAACAAAGTTCATCCTGACTATGCCGCTCAAGTTCGCGCATTGCTGGAGCAGCACAATGCTAAATGTCCTCAGAAGGTACTCGATCTACTTTAATCTTTTTAGGCAGCTTTCAATTTTGTTCTACTTGTGTATCTCTTTCACCTTATTTTTCTATTTGATAAGCTGTTCTTGGTCTTTTCCTGAACTATGTGATTTCCTTATGACTATAGGATTAGAATTTAGAGTCATGCGGGTGTACAGCACGGAAACATGCCAACCAGATAGCTTACATTAATCTAGTCCCATTTGCCAGCATGTGGCCCACATTCCTCCAAATCCTTCCTATTCTTATACCCATCAGATGCCTTTTAAATGTTGTAATTGTAACAGCCTCCACTGCCTCCTCTGGCAGCTCATTTCCGTATGGACCAGCCTCTGTGAAAAGTTGCACCCAGCTCCCTTTTAATTCTTAGCCCCCTCACCTTAAACCTATACCCTCTAGTTTTGGACTCCTCTATTCTAGGGAAAAGACCTTGACTATTCAGCCTATCCATGCTCCTCATGGTTTTATAAACTTCTATAAAATTATCCCTCCTCCTCTGATGCTCCAGGGAAAATAGCCCCAGCCTATTCAGCCTCTCCCTATAGCTCAAACCCTCCAACTCTGGCAACGTCCTTGTAAATCTTTTCTGAACCCTTTCAAATTTCACAATGTCTTTCCTATAGCATGGAGACCAGAAGTGAATGCGCTGTTCCAAAAGTGGTCTAACCACTGTGCTGTACAGCTTCAGCATGACCCCCCAGCCCCTATACTCAATGCACTGACCAATAACAGCTAGTGTACCAAATGCCGCCTTCATATCCTTACTTCAAGCTGTCTGGGAAAATTTCTTTCAGCTACATCAGCAATCTTTTCCTTGATTCCATTTTGAGTATTCTAATATAGATTCTTGTTGTGTGAAATGTTCAACATCCAGTGGAAATAGCACCTTGAGTAACTTGCAGACACTTCATCCCTTTCCCTCTCAACAGTTTACCTCCTTTACCTCTCTGCCTAGTTTTCCACCTCAGATATTCACTGGGATAGTATTTAAATTTTACTATATCTTCAGGCTCAAGCAGCTGTGTGGTATGGAGACCAGATTTTTTAAAGGCTTGTTTTTGAGATGGGAATGAAAATTGCAAGGCAGTTCAATATTATAATTCCTTGTCCATTCTTATTTGAATGAATAATCATTTTGCCTGCAAATTGTGGAATTAGAGTCACACATGGTCTTGATAGGTGAGAGTGGAAGATCACATTCCCCAAATTGTCAGGTGTGTTTATGTAATTATTTGGAAGCCTCCACTGCACCCTGGATTTCCTTCTCTGTGTAGCCTAATGCATCACTAGGCAGTGAATTTTGTCAACGTGGATGCCAAGGGAAATGCTGGAGTTATTTTTAGTGGAGGGAAAATCTATGGGAAAAAAACTTCAATGATTTTATTAACAAGAGCTTGTAGTTAGTAACATTTATGCAAAGTGAAAGGGTAGCATGCGGTCACCTTGGAGTGACAGCCTCACAGCTTGAGGGAGCACTGATTCATGCCCCTTAGGATAGGGCCCATAAGATGTAGGAGACAGCCGTTGAGTCTGCTGTACCATTCAATGGGATCATAGCTGATCTGTTAATCCTTAACTCCACTTTTCTGCTTTTCCCCCATTACCGTTGATTGCCTTACCAATTAAAAATCTGTGTATCTCCGTTTTGAATATATATAATGAACCAGCCCTGACAATTCACTGCTCCCTTAGGAGATATTCCTCCTTGTTTGTTTTAAATGGGTGACACCTTAATTTGAGGTTATGCCCTCTGATCCCAGACTCTCCCACAAGTGGAAGCACCCTGTCCGCATTTACCCCGTCCAGACCCTAAGAATCTTGTATGTTTCAATAAGGTTGCTTCTCATTCTAAACCCCAGTGAGAACAAGCTTGACCTACTCAACCTTTCCATGTAACAAGATCCTTCCATTCCCAGGATCAACCCCTAGTGAATCTCCAGTGCATTTATCCTTAGATAAGGGGATCAAAACTGTTCTCAATATTTTTGATGTATCTTCTGATTTGATCAAGGGAAGGAAGGTGTGACTGAGAGTCTGGTAGGTAAGGGGACACGGGTGTGAGTGCAGGAGTCTAAATATGTGCAGTTGTCAAATTGGTTTGCAGTTCTTTCAGCTTGTTTGAATGAGAAGACTGTGGGGCGGATGGCCTAACTGACCATGGCAGTATGGTATAGGAAGCTATTTAAATGCAAGGAATTAAAACGTAATATATAGATAGTAGGTTGCAGTACAGTGAGGAGTTTGACTCTGTTCTCTGCAGAAAAGAGCAAGAATCCATGAGGATTCATTTTTTAACTTGGTACCAATGTTTAGGATGTTACAGTGTGATCGGGAGGATACAGTCACTAGTCCAGTTGGTAACGTGCAAAGTGTGAGATTACAGATAAATATATACTTTAATATTATTTATTTATTTCAGAAATTAGATTTTGAATTGGTGGTATGTGGGTTTTGGCCTGAGTATGCAAAGGACTTTGGTGATTAACTTGTCAGTATTTCTGGAACTGTGATGAAGAAACCAGTATGGAAAAATAATTCCTAGAGTGCTAATGGGAATCTGTTTGCATCGGGGGGTCTTTGAGTGGACAAAGTAAATATTGAAAGCATTTGGCTGCTTTCAGTTGGAAAGATCCAGATTTGTTGTTTTGTTGCTAAAGAAAAACATCCATTGCTTGGAAAGCCTTTCGGTTTCAGTTCACAGATGTCCTGGCAGAGGTTAGATGTGCCAAATTGTTTCTGCTGAAGATAGTTTAGGACTGTTAAGAAATGGAATACCTGAGGTTGAAAGTTACAGATCGGAAGTATTTGGTTAAAATTGTGAAAGGGTTATTTGAAGCTGAGAAGGTCCAAGTTTAGCTGTGTGAAAACTTTTATTAACTAACTAACTAACTAATTAATTAATACGGAAAGCTTATACAGCTTGAGAAGAATGCTACAATTTATTGCAAGGGAAATTAAATATGAAAGTAGGGAGGTTATGCTTCAGTTATGAGGCACTGATGAGACCACACCTGGAATACTGTGTACAGTGTTGGTCTCTGGCTCCAAAGCATGCATATACCAGCATTCAGACATGGAGTGTTTAGTTCTGCTTTTTTTAAAGCTACTTTTGTAACCTCGAATGCTGTTAATGCACTCTAATGTATATGCTCTGTCCCTTCCTGCCACACTCTGGTCAGCTCTACCTTATTGCTATCATACTGTCTTGCCTTGTCTTCTCTGTTCAATTTATCACATCTTCCTAAACTCAGTCCTTTACTCCAACTGTATCAGAGATAGTCGGAACTGCTGCTATGATGCTGCTTGGCCTGCTGTGTTCATCCAGCTGTACACCTTGTTATCTTTACTCCAATTATTTAGTTTGAAGCTTTTCTACCATCTCAACTATTTTACTTGTCCAAACAAGCACAGCTCGGGTCCCAACAATATAGTCCTGTTTCCCAGAACACTACTGCCAGTGCCCCTGAATCAAAACCCATTTCTCCCATGTCGATGTTTGAGCCACATATTTGACTCTCTCATCCTATTTATTCTATGTCAATTTGATAGTGGCTCGAGATAGTAATCCAAGAATTACCTTTTTGACGTTTTGATTTTTTTTTAAAATTTAGCCCTGGTGGTTCCCAACTTTTATTTAGGTCATTGGTCTCTATGCAGACCAGGGCCCCTGGATCCTCACTTCCATTGCAAGTTCCTCTCTAGGCCAGGACAAATCCTGGCAGTGGACAGGCAAAACATCCTAAATGCATCAAAATCACTTGCATCCAAGACAGAAGAACGACCAAAGAATGTTGAACTATGACAGTCGATGGAATGAAGATATAATTGTTGACCATACTAAGGAGTTTGTGTTGGGGGCTTCAATCTGCCCAGTGTTCACCTACAGAAAATGGAGTCCACCAAAATTAAATGTTGGACAACAGAGGCAGAGTTAATATGCCAGAATTTGGAGATTATGGAATGAAGCTGAGCAATTATACTTGGTATGAAATTAGTACCCTTTCTGAAAACATTTTCTGCTTTGCAAGCTGTTCTAAGTGTTTCAATTCTTAACTTCAAGATTCGGCCGGTTAATATAATTTGGGTCTTCTCCCATGCAGCTTGTGTGAGCAGGTGTGCATTTTATAGAAAAACCCCCGGGAATGGGTGCTAATATTGGGCGTCTTCTTTTACAGACGATGGTCAGAACCTACAGTCGTCATCCTTCTGCTGAGAGGTCAAACCTGTGACGGTTTAACGTGAAGTGTGGTGTCACAGCTACAGTCTAACTTTCCAGACCCATTTATGCTTCAAACATTAGTTATGATTGTATAATTGATAATGATCCCTAAACTTCAGATTTTGTAACTGAAGAATTTTCTTATTGCATATTTTGTTTAAAAGCTAAAAAGTCTTGTCTGATTTAATGCTTGCATTTAAAACCAAACCTAAGTTTTCCTCTCTCTTCCTTCCTCACTTAAGTATGTAAATTCCATCCGTTATTTCTCCCAAGATTTGTGATCCTGGAGATGAGTCTTTTTTTTTTTTTTGTTACTGTGCATCTCTCTCACAATGCCTGCTGGATCTGTGGCATTGTATTTGTTTGGCTGAGAATTCATATTGGGCTTTCTACCTCCTCTGCTTAGTTTTAGCAGCAACTTTAAAGATTGTTTTCCACACACTTAACTATATGCCATTTAACATTTAATCTTGTTACATAAGTTAAGGCTTCTGCTAAATTTAGCTTTGAATACCCAATGCACAAGCTTCTGTCCTTTGTTCTTGCAATGAAGTCCAGGCTAATAATTTAGCTCAAAACGTGAATGCTGTATTAAACAATGGCAATTTTTATTTTTGTTAATCTGGGAAGTGAGGGACTTGATAAAGAAACTCAAATTAAACTATTAATACAACTTTCAAATGCTGTTGTAAATATGTGTCCTCACCCAGTTGTACAGATGTCAGCTGTGGCTCATTTTAGAGCACTTTTGTCTCTGAATCTGAAGGTTATCGGTTTAAACCCATAGCAGAGACAAACTGAAATCTAGGCCAGTGCTCCAGTGTAATACAGAGGAATCACTGCACTGTTGGATATAACACAAAACCAAAAGATCTGTCTCCCCTTTCAGGTGCACATAAAGTATTTTATGTAAATATTTTGAAAAAGAACTGGTGTCTTACCAACATCGGAACAACAAAAACTGAATATCTGGTTGTTATCGCTTTGCGGGGAGCATGTTGTTTGTCAATTGGCTGCCATGTTTTTTCGAATACAACGGTGATTTCATAGAACAGTTCTTCAATTGGGGTGGCCTGAGGTTGTAGAAGGTACTACAGAAATGCAGGTTTGTTTGCTCACTTTCACAAGGAATCTTTCATTTGGAGTGTTTTCAAAGTCTGGGTTTATTGCCTTTTGAGACTGTGTGTGTCAGATGCACCATCCTGACAAGTATTCTCATTTGATTCCTTTTTCTTTGTGTTTCAGAATATTTGTTTGAGCAGTCAGAGGACATATAATTTAAGTTTGATTTCCCATTCAAGTGCTCATCCCTCTGAGTTCGTATTTTCCTTTTTGTTCCTTTGGATCTGACTTTTCCCTTTCCAGAGGCCCTTTCTCGTGGCATGTTCTCCTTTTTTTTTTTATTCTGTTACCCAATGATGAATTAGAGGGCTTGCCTCAGTAGTGACTGAACAACTGGCAGGTATTGCACTCTTCATTTGTAATGTCAAAATAGTTTAAAATGAGTCCATTGTCTGTATCAATAAACATGAAACTGATGGGGCTCAATTTAGTCATTGTGAAAATCCAGTTAATTTTTAGAGCTTTGCAAAAGGGGAAAATATGTTTTTTCTTTTATTTAAAAAGTAATCGAGGAGGAAAGTTAGTGTTTCAGTAAAGGCTTATATTTATATAGAATCTTTCCATGGCAGTTAAAAGCACATTTCCATCAATTAAGCATTTCTGAAGCATAGTCATTGTTATAATGTAGGGAAATTTGGCAATCGTTTTGCACGTAGCAAGGTTCCATAAAACAAGAATGGTATAGATGCTTCAACAGTCTTTTAATGTTATTTCAGGATTACAGTATTAGTCATAATATTGGTGAGAACTCCCTCATGCTTCAAGATAGTCTTCAAATTCTTTCACAACCATGTCAGCCAGCATGTCCTCTGGAAGAATTTTGGGGAATTAATGTATTGCTCCCAGTTTAATAGGATACAGATTTACACCCAAGACTGAACCATGTCTAGTCCTGCAACCAGGAAGACTCTGAGGCATCTTTGCTAGAGGGGCTTTGATGAAGGTTGATAGTGTGGCCTATTCATTTGGGCTTCCTCCTAACATGTGTGCCATGGTTTGGCAATTAATGCCGAATTGTGGCAGATTATTAATTGAAGAATACTCATTTTTTGCTGTTTTAGGAGATGAAATAATGCCATGAAATCCATGCCTACTGGTTTAAACTTTTTGGTCAAATTAGCTTGTGTTAAAGTTAATTCACAAGGGAAAGCGTCACACTGAAATTCCGAAAAAGCATGCATGGGTTTGTATTTTTGAAAACAAAGGAAAAGATCAGTTTCTCTTAGCTGTTATTTTTATCAGTTTTACGCAATGATGGCATGCAGTTTATATTCAATTAAGAGTTCTAAAACAAGCGCAAGATGTTTGGGTTTATATAGAACCTTTACTTTTAAAGTTGCTCTAGAATGAATACATTTTGGAACACTTGTGATAGAATATTCCTCCAGATTAATTAAGTTGTTTTCATTTGAGATCGAGGTTACTGGGGTTAAAAATTAGACAATGGACTCCTTGCATCTTGAGCCCAGAGTTAACATTTAATTTGGCATCCAGCATGTAGTTTAATCATACTGTAATCTTTCTGAAGAGTTACATGCATTTGCATTCCGGTTATAAATGCACTTATTAGCTTATTTGCTGATTTATTAATGACATTTAACCCAAACACAATTGAAGCAAATGTAATCTGAGATCAGTAGTAATGAGAAGTGGGGACTTGTACAACCAATTCAACCTGAACAGTCAGCATAATCTACCAATGCAGGAAAGAAGATGAAGCCAATTCTTTAATTTGAATATCTTTTTGAATGTCAGTAAAACTGAAGATTTTATCTCTGGAAATATGATTTGTAACTTGATAGAGATGATTTTTAATGCTTAGTAAAATTCCAGGAATGTGATTAAATGCATCCAAACAATGGCATTTTGTGTTTGTTTCGAAATATTTTCTCCTGAAGCTCGTGCCTCAGTCTTCTGGCTTAAGTTCGGAAGCTTCCAAGAGACCATAATGTAAGCAAAAGAAACAACACTAATGGATGACAGTTCGCAGTAGGTGTGGTGTCTACCAACTAGAATTACTACTTTTAATCATCCACGAAAGAAGCTATAGCTTTTTGTTTGGTCTTAAAACTGCTCCCACTCTTTTCCCCCCACCTCCCCCAACCACATTTGTGTATAAATGGAAAATTATTCCAGATGAGAATTTTTTAATGTACTGTTCTTGAAAATCAATGTGAGCATAAAGAGGGTGTTACTTTTAACAAACGGTGACAAATGAAACATTCACTTCAGAATTTTACATTGATTTTTGAGTATCTTAGTTCATACCAACTTCACTAAATTTAAAATAATAGTAGAATTTCTGGAAGAACTGTATCGTTTGACATTTTGGCAGAATGTTTGGAACAAAAAATAAATTTAAGAATCCTTGAGTAATGCTACCTCTGTTGATACTTCATACAAAGATCTTGGTTGACCATAGGATGGAAAGGCAGCAGGATTCAGGCACACATCATCGTGCAAAACTGAATGCCTTTTGCACCTGCAAATGTGCCACATGAGAAACTAAAATTCCACCTTCATGATCTTCCTACACTTGTTGAAATCAATGCTTGCATCTATGAATAAATATGCAAATAGCTGATTCAAGTAATAAGTGCATTTAATTGTTCTAGTGAGTCTATCTTTAAGCCTTAAAATTTTAAAATATGTTTAAACCAGTTGATGGCAATTGATTCATTTATCTCAACCTACCTGGGGTCTTGTGACACACTAGTGGTGTCCTACCTCCAGGTCAGGAGTTCTTCGTTCAATTCCTACCTGCCCAGAGGTGTGTGATAACATCTCTACAGATTGGTTGGACATATCCACAATTTTTACTTTTAATTGAGAGCAAGGCTAGCCATTGTTGATATTTGGGGCTCTGTGTTCATAGTTACCTAATATAGGCAGTTGGTGATTTGTGACAATTTTCTGGAAGTTTGTTAAGATCTGGTTTAGATACAGTATGTTAGTTAATTACATGATGAGAAATATATGCCCCGTGACTGATGAGAACACTTCTCTCATCCCAAATCTGTCCTGTAAAATGGAGAAATAGAGCCAGGGCACTCCTGTGTCCCAGATGTCTTTGTTCTTCTGTGGGTTGATGTAGGGGTTCTCCTGGTCTTCCCTCAAGAAGATAGTCACTCATGTTCCTCGTAGACCTCTCCATCTATCCCTATAGATGAGCATTGTGTCTTCTCTGCATTACGTCTAAACCTTCTCAGCCAGTGTGGGCAGCTCCTCGTGATAGCAGGATGACTGTTGTCACATTACCCTACATCTATAACTGAGGGTTGGGTTGCAAATTTTACTCCCCGAGGAATACATACCTATTTTCAAAAACAATAGTGAATCCTGTTCATCTGGTGCTAGATAAATTGATGCTTTTCATTGGGCATGTGACCTCAGTATTTTTCATAATTCTTTCCTTTATTTTCATATGGTAGAATTTTGAGTTTATTAACTGCTGTAACAGCTGTTAATTAAAATCTCATGCTACATAGTAAATAGTAGGAAAATTCCATTGCAAAGGTGCCTAAATTTCCATTCACAGATTGAGCCAGCACTTTCATCTCCCTCTTTCCAGAGCTACTTGCAAGAAAGCATTAGGAATGCAATATAAGAACATTTAAACTATTATTAAAGGTTGAGAGCCATTGGAGAAACAAAAATAAAATGCTGTTGCTGGAGATCTGAAATCCTTAAAAAGCTAGAAATATTTAGGCAGCACCTGTAAGGATGGAGAAACATAATCTTTTAGGTTGTTGAACTTTCTGATGAAAGGTAAGATTTAGAGTTATAGGTTCTGAAGGTGGCAGAACAGGTTAATTGGGTAGTTGAGAAGACCTATGGGACATCTTATCAGTTGTGGCATAGTTTATGAGGGCAGGGAGATCATGTTGGAGCTGTACAAAACTCTGGTTATGCTATAGCTGGAGGACTGCGTGCAGTTCTGGTCACCTCACCATAAGGAAGGATATGATTGCACACCCCTCCAGTGCAGAGGAGATTCCTCTGGGTTGAAGCATTTTTCCTATTAAAGTCTGGATAGGCTTGGATTATTTTCGTTAGAACAGAGCACGGACAGGGTGACCAGGAGGCAGCTGTTCCCCTTAGTTGAAGGATCAATAATGAGGAGCCGTAATTTTAAGGTGAAGAGCAGGAGGGGACTTAAAGATTTTTCTACTCTGAGGGGTGTGGGTATCTGAAATGCACTGTCTAGGAGGGCATTTGAGGTTGGAAGCCTCATAATCTTCAAAATGTACATTAAACACTTGAAATTTCATAATATACAAGGCTATGGGCCAAGTCCTGGAAAGATGGATTTGTGTAGAGCAGAGGAGATCAAGATGAATCATCCACTCGGCACTTTTGGCTGAAGATTATTGCAAATGCTTTATCTTTTGCACTGATGTATTGGGCTCCCCCATTATTGAGGATGTTTATGGAGCCTCCTCCTCAATTGAGTTGCTTAATTGTTTGCCACCATTGAGAACTGCATAGCATTGATCTGATCCATTAGGTGTGCAGTTGCTTAGGTCTGTCTATTACTTGCCTATTATGCTGGCTGGCACGCAAGTAGTCCTGTTGTGTAATTTCAAGTTGGCACTTCATTTTTAGGGATGCCTGATGCTGCTCCTGGCATGCCCTTCTGCACTCTTCATTGAACCTGTTCTTAAGATCAAAGAATGGGGCACTTTCATGAAAAATCATTGATTAGGGTCAACATGGTTTCATGAAAGGAAAATCATATTTGCCAAATCTTTTGGAACTTAGGGTGTTCAAGCAGGGCTGATAATGGGAAATCAGTGCCTGGAGAACATTTGGATCTTTGGATGTCACACAAAAGTTTTGTTTTTAAACAAATGATTGGGGTAATATATTAGCACACATTGAAAATTAGTTGATGGACATAAAACAAAGTAGGAATAAACAGGTTATTCATAGACATTGGGTGTGATGGTGTTAGGGCTTCGGGTACTCAAAAGAATTATGAATAATATAGAAGGAGGAAGAAGTGTATAATGCAGGCTTAGTGGTACAATACATAGATGATTCACGTCAAGTCTTGGTCATTTGATTATGTTGGAGATGATAGATTATTATACATGTTGGATTTTTTGATGCATTGACATTCCTGTGTTTATTTTTGGGATATTTATTAATGTATATCAGTCTGCACCCAGCATTTCCATCCTGCAACAGTGCAATTCACTGGGAGCAAAACAAAATCTATGTTTGTTTGATTAAAAGTAAGAATTTACATTCATTCAAAATAGCGGAACACAAAATGAAATGTAATGAAGAGATGTCAATGATAGGGGTTAAAGGCATGCATTATTGGAGGGCAATAAAATCATGAGGGCACGGATAGGGTAAATAGACAAGGTCTTTTCCCTGGGGTGAGGGAGTTTAAAACTAGAGGGTATAGGTTTAAGGTGAGAGGGGAAAGATATAAAAGGGACCCAAGGGACAACTTTTTCATGCAGAGGGTGGTGCATATACGGAATGAACTGCTAGCGGAAGTGGTTTAGGCTGGTACAATTACAACATTTAAAAGGCATCTGGATGGGTACATGAATGGGAAAGGTTTAGAGGGATATGGGCCAAATGCTGGCAAATGAGACTAGATTTATATAGGATATTTGGTTGGCGTGGATGAGTTGGACCAAAGGGTCTGTTTCCTTGGTGTACATCTCTGTGACTCAATGACAAGAAATCGGAGACAATAAATGGAAAGAATTTTTCAACTCTTTACCCATTGTGACAACTATGACATGGCAACTTTGTACTGCCTTTGGATAAAGCAAGAAGGCAAGTCCCAAATAAGCCCCAGCTAGGACAAGGGTCAAACTCAATTGTTGACACTGATCTGATCAAGCGACTGAACAATCAACTCCAGTGGAGTTTCAGTTTTTGCAGCGACGTATATCTTCTCCATGCATGTTGTAGTCTGTAGTGATAAATAGTTATGGCAACAGCTAGAAGGGATAACATACGTGGGAAAATGATATGGTCAGCCAGAAGCAGGAGAAGGCTAATAAAACTCTTCAAAACTATCAGTAATACTTTGGCTTTATTTCATTAACATGTTGAAAATTAATTCAACTAATGATAGAATCATTGATCAACATTTATTCTTAACTTCTGCAGTGGACATCAGAAAATGCCTATGTCCTCTTTAAAATAGGACATTACAATTTTAACCCCCCTATGAAGGTATCTTGGTCTTTATAGCTTTCATCAACCACCTTCTAAACCTAAATACATGAGTGTAGAATCCATATTTCCCATCCCGGTCACATCCTTCTCCCCAGGAGACGATGCCCATCAGGTACCATCGATTATTGCCCGGATTCTGTGTGACATTTGAAAAAACAAGTTTAATAAAGAAATGATATTGCCTATAACTTAGATACTAGGGAAAAACTACACTTTTTACTTAATGTCTTCACAATCACAGGATATCCGAAAGTACACCATATTGTCATCTAGGAAACACTACACCCAACTAACGTATAGCAAGCTCTCAAAAAGCAATGTAATAATTTTCCAGACAATCTGCTTTCTGAGTGAAGGATGATGCATAAGAAAAAATCCTTTATTTTTTCACCATTCGCAAGATTACAGCATCACTGGCTAGGCCAGCATTTTATTGGCCATCCCTAATTGCCCAGAGGACAATTGAGAGTCAACCTGATTGCTGTGGGTCTGGAGTCACATGTAGGCCAGACTAGGTAAGAATGGCAGTTTCCTTCCCTAAAGGACACTAGTGAACCAGGAGCGGGTTTTGTGACAATCAACTCATGGTGATCATTAGACTCTTAATTCCAGATTTTCATTGAATTGAAATTTCACCACCTGCTGTGGCAAGATTCAAACCCTAGTCGCCAGAACACTGCCTGGGTCTTCAGATTAACAGTCCAGTGATATTACTGCTAGGCCATTGCCTGCCCAAATACAGGAATGCCTATAAGCATCCGGGAGGGAAGGCCTGACCTCGAATTAACTTTTTAGCTGAAAGGTGATGTTTCCAGCAGAACAGTACTGAAGTGTCAGCCTAGATTACATACTGCAGCCTCTGAAGTAAGATTTGAGCCTAACTCAATCTAACTTGCAAGTGTCACCACTAAGCCAAGGCTAGCAGTTGGATTTACGACAGGGAGTACATTTTTTTCATTCTTTCCTGTGATGTGGGTGTCGGAGGTTGTGCCAGTATTTATTCCCCATTGCTAATTGCCCAAAAGACATTAGTGAATCAGCTTGAGCGTTTACCACAATCGACAGTGATTACAGTCTTATTGAGGCTAGCTTTTTTTCTAGATATTTCTTTTCCTGAGTTCTGCTACAGATGGGATTTGAACCCTTGTCCCCAGAAGATTAACATGGAGCTCTGGATTATTGGTCTAGAGAAATTATCTACAATGTCACCACCTCCAGACCGGCACCAATTTAAATCTTTTCCAAAGGTTCCCCATGATGGTTTCCCTATCCATCCTGTTTCTCTCAGGGTGTATTCTGGGAAAGCGAGATGCACTCTCACAAAGTGAGGAGAGAATGAACTACAGAGTAATGGTTCTATGCAGGAGGTTTTAAATTAGAAGTTCCACTGGGATCAACAAGAGTATAAGAGATAATGACACAAAAGGCAATAAACAATGGTAGCTTTTGGAAAGACTGAGAGGGATCACATGTGATAGATTTTTGCCAATGCTGCTGTACAGTGCTTCACTGATAAATGCAGGCGAGTTGATCTGCTCCATAAACCTCCATCAATGCTGCTGCCGCCAAGCCTGGCTTGTGTCTTAAGAGGTGAAGATTAGATTTCTTATCACAAAATGTTATATGAGTGGGGATGCCTCAGAAAAGTAATGTCTCTGAGGCATGAGGCTTTTCAAGGAAAAGACATGAAAGTAGGAATGAAGGAAATATTCAAGCACCTTCCTGAGAGACTAAGAATTTATGAGTGGAATGAATGACCATAAAGCCATAAGACATAGGAGGAGGAGCAGAATATTCAGCTCATCAAGACTGCTTCGCCATTCAATGAAATAATGGAGGATCTGATAATCCTCAACTCCACTTTCCTGCCTTTTCCCTATGACCATTGATTCCCTTACTGATTAAAAATCTGCCTATCCTAGCCTTGAACAGACCTAATGTACCAGCCTCAAGAACAGCAAAAAAATTCCACAGATTCACTCCCCACTAGGTAGAGAAATTCCTCCTCATCTCTATCTTACATGTGACCTCTTATCCTGAGGTTATGCCCTCTGATACTAGACTTTCCTGCAAGGGTAACAATCTTTCTGTATCTACTCTGTCAAGTCTCAAGTCCCTGAGTACAGGCCCAACCTACTCAATCTCTTTTTGTAAGACAGTCCCTCCATGGTATCAGTCTAGTGAAACTTCTCTGGACTGCATCCAAAGTCAGTATATCTTTCCTTAGATAAGGGGCCCAAACTCTTCACTGTATTCCAGCTGTAGTCTGACTAGTGCCTTGTATTGTTTCAGCAAAACCACCCTACTTCTATTCTCCATTTCCTTCGAAATAAAGGCTAACATTTCATTTGCCGTCCCTATTACTCGCCGAACTTGGATGCTAGCTTTTAGTGAATCATAGACAAGGACTCCCAAATCCCTCAGTGCTGCAGCTTTCTGCAGCCTTGCTCCATTGAAATAATATTCATCTCCTCCATTACTCCCGCTGAAGTGCATCGCCTCACATTTTCCCACATTATATTCCATCTGCCAAGTTTTTGCCCACTCACTTGGTCTGTCCATATCCCTCTTCAGACTCTTTGTGTCATCCTCATCACTTGCTTCCCACCTAGTTGTGTAATCTGCAAACTTGGCTATAGTAGATTCACTTCCCTTATCTTAGTCATTGTAATTGTAAATACATGTAAATAATTCAGGCCTCAGCACTGATCTCTGTGACACTCCACTGGTTACAGGTTGCCAACTTGGAAATGCCCCCTTATCCCAACTCACTGTCTTCTATTAGTTAGCCAATCCTCCATCCATGCTAATATGCTACCTCAAAAACCAGAGCTCTTATCTTATGAAGTAGCCTAATATGTGGTACCTTATCAAACATCTTCTGAAAATCCAAATATATTACATCCACTGCTTCCCCTTTATTTACTAGTGGCTTGATACCTCCTCTAATAAATTTCTTCGGCATGATTTCCCATCATGAAGCCATGTTGACTCTGCTTGATCGTGCTATGTATTCTAAATTCTCTGCTGGTGCATTCTTTATAATAAGATAAAGTTGCCTTAAACCCACAGGGCTGCTGTCTCGTTAGAGAAAGATGGCTGATGGTCAGTTTTATCTGAGGGTGACCACATCTCAGGTGAGGGGTAAGGTTGAGAAGGCAGGGCTTTCATGGTAAACTCAGCTAGTGATGGAATTAAACCTGCACTGTAGGCATCACTCTGCATCGCAAACCATCCAGCCAGTCAACTCAGTTCCAATACCCAAATCCTTTATAATAGACTCTAACATTTTCCCAATAACAATCATTAAGCTGACTGATCTATAGTTACTGCCTTTTGTCTCCTTCTCTTTCTAAGCAAAGGTGCGATATTGGCAATTTTCTAACCTTTTGGGACTTCTCCAGAATTTAGAGATCCTGGACAATTATTACCATTCTGCATAGCTACTTATTTAATACCATAGGATGCATCCCATTGGGTCCAAGGGACTTATTGGTCTTCAGCCCTGTTAGTTTTCCTAGCACTTTTTCTCTGATGATAGTTATTGTATTTATTTCCTCTCCTCCTTTTGCCCCTTTATTATTTAGTAATTTTGGAATGCTATTAATGTGTTCTATGGTGAAGATTGTTGCAAAGTGTTTATTTATTCAGTTCCTCTGCCACTTCCTGGTTCCCCATTATCATTTCCCCAGCCTCATTTCTTAAGGGGTCTGTATTAACTTTGGCCTCTCGCTTCCTTTTTATATATTTAAAGAGGTTCTTGCAGTCTGTCTTGCAAATTTACCCACAACATTCATTTCTCCCTTTTTTTGGTATTTTTGTTGGGTTTTAAAACTTACCCAATCCTCTGGCTTACCACTAACATTTGCCATATTGTATATATTTTTTCTTTCAATTTGATACTATCCTTAACTTCCCTGGTTAACCATGATTGGCTTGTCCCCTTTAGAATCCTTCTTCCTCAATGGAATATGTCTTTGTCGCGAGCCATGAAATATTTTCTTCAAAATCTGCCTTTGTTCCTCAACCTTCTTTGCTGTTAAATTTCTTTCCCAGTTCACTTCAGCCAACACTCCCCTTATTTGTATGTAATTATCCTCATTTAGATGTAGCACTGTTGTTTCTGACACATCTTCTACTGACACTGTACAAATTCTTCCTCATGGCTACCTCTGCCAAACTGTCCATCCCAATTTACATGAAAATTAAAGTCACTCATGATTAATGTACTGTTTACATTCCCTCATTATCTTCTGATTTATTCACTGTCCCAATATATAGTTGCTATTCGGGGTTAAGAAGTGACTTCTTCCTTTTTTTATTTCTTACATCATCTTGTATGGTTGAGAGAGGGACAGGACTGCCTGCTCAACGTTCCAGGGTTTTGTTGTTTTAGACAAGATAGAGGGGAAGGTAAAACAGGTAGAGAAGTTGCATTACCAATCAGGGATAACGTTACATCTGCGCTCAGAGAGGACATACTGGGGGGCTCATCCACCGAGGCAACATGGGTGCAGCTCAAAAATAAAATGGGTGCAATCACTCTGATAGGCCCCCCAACAGCCACCGAGACATTGAGGAGCAAATATGTAGGCAGGTTATGGAAAGAAGTAATAACGACAGGGTTGTCATAGTGGGTGATTTTAACTTCCCCAATATTGACTGTGACTTCCTTAGAGCGGGAAGAAGTTGTTAAGTGCATCCAGGAGGGTTTCTTGAAACAGTATATGGACAGTCCAACTTGAGGAGGGGCTATACTGGAACTTGTATTGGCTTGTGAGCCTGGCCAGGCGACTGAACTTTCAATGGGACAGCATTTTGGAAACAGTGATCACAACTCCTTAAGTTTAAAGATGGCAGTGAATAAGGATAAGTCAGAACCTCATGGGAAGGTACCAAACTGGAGGAGGGCAAATTATGTCAGTATTAGACAGGAGCTAGGAAGTGTTAATTGGGAGGAGCTGTTATCAGGCAAGTTCACATTTGACATGTGGGAATTGTTTAAAGATCTCCTGATGAGAGTTCAGAACCAGTATGTTCCAGTAAGGAGGAAGGACAAAGATGGCAAGGTAAGGGACCCTTGGATAACACGGGAGGTTATGAATTTAGTCAAAAGGGAAAAAGAAGCATATATATATAGTTTAGGAAGCAAAATTGGAGTGGGCCTGTGAGGAATATAAGGAAAGTAGGAAAGTACTCAAGCAGGGCATTAGGAGAGCAAGAAGAGGCCATGAAATGACCTTGGCAAGTAGGTTTAAACAGAATCCTTAGGCATTCTATACATACATTAAAAATGAGAGGATAACTAGGGAGAAAGTAGGACCATTCAAGGATAAAGAAGGGAACTTGTGCGTGGAGACAGAGGATGTGAGCAAGATCCTAAATGAGTAGTTCGTGTCGGTATTCACCCATTAAGAAGGATATGGAGGACAGTGAGATTTGTGTGCAGCTTGCTAATATGCTAGGGCATTTTGAGATCATAAAAGAAGTGGCGTTGGATCTCTTGAAGAACATTAAGGTGAATACATCCCCAGGGCCCAATGGTATTTACCCCAGGTTATTGAGAAAAGTAAAACAGGAGATTGCTGGGGCCTTGATCTTTGTATCCTCGCTAGCCACTGGAGAGGTCCTGGAGGACTTGCAAGTACCTAATGTTCCTCTATTTAAGAAGAGAAATAGGGATAATCCAGGAAACTACGACGGGTGAGTCTCACGTCGATGGTTGGGAAGCTGTTGGAAAGAATTCTTAGGGATAGGATTTACACGTATTTGGAAAAGCATGGCCTAATTAGTGGCAGTCAGCATGGCTTTGTGCAGGGCAGGTCATGTCTTATTAACTTGATTGAATTTTTCAAGGAGGTGCCAAAGGTGATCGATGAGGGTAGAGCACTGGATGTTGTTTACATGGCATTTAGTAAGGCTTTCAACAAGGTCCCCCATAATAGGCTCATCGAGAGGATTAAGATGCAGGGGATCCACAGAGACTTGGCCGCATGGATTCGGAATTGGCTTGCCCATTGAAGGCAAAGGGCAATGGTGGAAGGGTGCTTTTCAGGCTGGAGGTCCCTGACTAGTGGTGCTTTGCAGGGATCCATACTGGGACCTCTGCTGTTTATGATATATCTAAATGACTTCAATGAAAATGTAGATGGAAGGGTTAGTAAGTTTGCAGACATTACAAAGATCGGTGGAGTTGTGGACAGTGTAGAAGGTTGTCAAAGGATACAGCGGGATATAGATCAATTGCAGATAAGATCAATTGGAGAAATGGCAGTTGGAGTTTAATCCAGATAAGTGTGAGGTGCTGCACTTTGGGAGATCAAATATTAAGGAAAAGTATACAGTTAATGGCAGGACCCTGAACGTCACTGATGTACAGAGGGATCTTGGGGTTCAAGTCCATAGCTCCCTGAAAGTGGCCACGCAAGTAGATAGGGTGGTAAAGAAGTCATACGATATGCTTATCTTTATTGGTTGGGGAATTGATATAAGAGTCATGTTGCAGCTTTATAAAACTTTGGTTAGGCCACACTTAGAGTACGGCATTCAATTCTGGTTGCCTCATTACAAGAAGGATGTGGAGGCTTTGGAGAGGGAGCAGAAGACGTTTACCAGGATGCTGCCTGGATTAGATGGTATGAGCTATAAGGAGAGGCTAGAAAAACCTGAGCTGTTTTCTCTGGGCAATGGAGACCAAGAGGAGACTTGATGGAAATGTATAAAATTATGAGAAGCACAGATGTTGTTGACAGTCAGAATCTTTTTCCCAGAGCTGAAATCTATAAAACTAGGGGTCATGCATATAAGGTGACAGGGGAAAGTTCAAAGGAGATGTGAGGAGCAAGTTTTTTACACAGAGAGTGGTAGGAGTCTGGAACGCACTGCCAGGGATGTGGTGGAGGCAGATATGATAGGGGCCTTTAAGGGACTTTTAGATAAGCACGTGAATATGCAAGGAATGGAGGGATATGGATCATGGGGAGACAGAAGGGATTAGTTTGGCATCATGTTTGTCACAACATGGTGGGCCGAAGGGCCTGTTCCTGTGCTGTACAGTTCTATGTTCTATATCTATGTGAATTCTACATCTTTTGATTGAAGATTATTTTTTGCTATGACTCTATTGTACTTATTTCATTTTGTACTAACAAAGCTACCCCACTGCCCTGAGACAACAAGGTGCAGGGCTGGATGAACACAGCAGGCCAAGCAGCATCATAGGAGCAGAGAGGCTGACGTTTCGGGCCTAGACCCTTCATCAGAAAAGGGGGAGGGGAAGGGGGTTTTGAAATAAATAGGGAGAGAGTGGGAGGCGGATAGAAGAGGGATAGAGGAGAGGATAGGTGGAGAGGAAACAAACAGGTCGAAGAGGCGGGGATGGGGCCAGGAAAGGTGAGTGTAGGTAGGGAGTTAGGAAGGGGATAGGTCAGTCCAGGGAGGACGGACAGGTCAAGGGGGCGGGATGAGGTTGGTCGGTAGGAGATGGAGGTGCGGCTTGGGGTGGGAGGAGGGGATAGGTGGGAGGAAGAACAGGTTAGGGAGGCAGGGACGAGCTGGACTGGTTTTGGGATGCGGTAGGGGGAGGGGAGATTTTGAAGCTTGTGAAATCCACATTGATACCATTGGGCTGCAGGGTTCCCAAGCGGAATATGAGTTGCTGTTCCTGCAACCTTCGGGTGGCATCGTTGTGGCACTGCAGGAGGCCCAGGATGGACATGTCGTCTGAGGAATGGGAGGGGGAGTTGAAATGGTTCGCGACCGGGAGGTGCAGTTGTTTGTTGCGAACCGAGCGTAAGTGTTCTGCAAAGCGGTCCCCGAGTCTCCGCTTGGTTTCCCCGATGTAGAGGAAGCCACACCGGGTACAGCGGATGCAGTATACCACATTGGCAGATGTGCAGGTGAACATCTGCTTGATGTGGAAAACCCCACTGCCGTCTTCCCTTCCTGCCTGACGTGTCAAACGCTGTGATCTCCTTCTAACCATGTTCCAAATACTACTCTGACTTCAAGTAAAGAACCATTAATTTTAGCTTTTTTGCCATTATTTCCCCTTTTTGACCCAATTTACTACTGTTTTCTACGTATGTATATACTCTGTCCTGCTCTGGGTATTGTTCTCCAGATATCTGCCCCATACTGTTGCCATTTCCTCTTGCTTTGTAATTTTACAGTTCCCCTCCCTCAAATCTCCAACTCCCCTCTAATTTAAAATCCTCTTTACAGCCCTAATTATTTAATTCACCAGGACACTGGTCCCAACATGGTTCAAGTGAAGCCCCTCCTGCCAGAACAGCTCCCTTCTACCCCAGTATTGGTGCCAGTACGCCATAAACTGAAACCCATTCCTGCCACACCAATCTTTGAGCCACACATTTAACTCCTTGGTTCTATTTACCTGTGTCAATTTGTCTGTGGCTCAGGCAGTAATCGTGAGACTATTACCTTGGAGATTCTGCTTTTTAATTTAGCTGCTAGCTGTTCAAAATCTTCCAGTAAAACCTCCTTTCTAATCCTATCAATACCATTAGTAGCTCCATGGACAATGACTACTGGTTTCCTCCCCTCCATCTCCAAGTTAGTCTCCAGCCCTGAGGAGAATAATATCCCCCTAATTATACTGCCCCAACCACTACTACGTTCGTATTCATCTGCCCCCACTTGAATGGCTCCTTGTACTATGGTATTGTGGTCAGTTTGTTCAACCTCCAAGAAGTCCCCACTCTTGTCTGCATACTTATAGGAATCTCGTAACTATTGGACAATTGCAGGGGCTAAAGCTCCTCAGTTCGAACCCTGCGTCCCTATACTTGCTTCACCTGCAGTCACACCCTCTTGTCTGTGATCACAGATCAATTTTGAATGACTTAGTGTGAGGGATGTGACCACTCGCCGAAGCAAAATGTCCAAGTTACTCTCCCCTTCCCTGAATAAGCTCAATATCTGCACCTCGGATGTCCAGCTCCTCAACTTAGGTCCAAAGTTCCACAAGCTGCAAACACTTAGCAAAGATGCGTTCCCCCTGGATCACATTGGTGTCCAGCAGCTCCCACACATTACAGCACCGAGACATCATCTGTCCTGCCATCACTATTGTACTTGACCAGATGTAAATAGGTCAGTGAAAGACAGGACAATGTAAATTCAATTACAGCATTTTCATTCACCCTTTTAAGTTACTTAGAACATTCCAACACAAACAGATTGCAACATGCCAGCAAAACTTGAAGAAATTAGAAAAATGTAGAACAGTAACCTTCATCACAAAGGGGCCCCCGCTGTCTCCCTCACAGGCATCTCCACGCAGGCCAGATTCCACACTGTGACCTAACACAGACAAAAAAAATACATTAAAGGAAACAATCAAACTGAATACTGGGTACACAGTATACCACGCCACCTTCTGTTTGGAACACAGACTCTCACTGAATCCATTCCAACTGTTATGCAAATCACACTCATCTCTAAACAATGCAAACAAAATGAAAGGCACAATGATCCTAATGCCTTATACTGCCATCACAAGAGGACATTTTTGTTAATTCAGGAGGGATAATGATATTCGCTTGGAAAATAAGAAGCTTCATTTCTCCCCCAGCAGTGAAGAATAGATACTCTGCAGCTTACAGATAAGTAATAGTACCAGAGTAACGTTAAAGTAAGCAAAAGTAACTGATATTAAGGTAAGAAAGGTGATTTAAAGGTTTAAGATTAAGGCATGCCAGGACAGCTCAGCCAAGTGGAGGCGATGGCCTAGTGGTATTATCGCTAGACTGTTAATCCAGAAACCCAGATAATGTTCTGGGGACCCAGGTTTGAATCCCACAATGGCAGGTGGTGACCAATGATGACCATGAATCCATTTTCGATTGTCGGGGGAAAAACCCATCGGGTTCACTAATGCCCTTTAGGGGAGGAAACTGCCATCCTCACCTGGTCTGGCCTACATGTGTCTCCAGACTCACAATAATGTGGTTGGCTCTTATGGGCAATAAATGTTGCCATGCCAGTGACATCCTCATTGCATGAATGAATAAAGGAAAAAAAAGTGGAATTCTGTAGCACTGGGGAGTCAAGGACACTTCTTGTGACCTTGATGAGCCCATGTTTCACCGGCTACACAATAAGAGCTCCAGACCCTGAATTGCAGCTAGAGGAGCATTTGTGATGCAGAGAACTGCATGGATATTACATTTGGAAAGCTATACATGGAGGAGGAGAAGGGCAATAACTTTCCTTTATTCTCTCATGGAACGTGGGTATCATTGACTGAGCCAGCATTCACTACCCATCACTAGCTGCCTTTGAGAAGGTAGTAGTGAGCTGCCCCTTGAACCACTACAGTTCATGTGTTGTAGGTAAACCCACAGCGCCCTTAGGGAGGGAATTCCGCGATTCTTTCATTAGAGGAACAGACAAGCATTTCTGCAGCCATCAAATGTGACTCCAGGATGGTTTTTTGCCTTCCTGGTACTAGTGGCAGGAATGTCATGGAACAGGGCATTCTTCTGAAAGAGGGCGGACAGTCAGAGTTTGTGGTCTGTGTTCATATTAGTTACACAGATAGGAACTGGGATGTATCCTGCGTTCAGAATTTAGGGAGCTAGATAGAAAATTGGCGAGCAGGACTCTATTGCCTTATATAAGTGAGTACAGAACTAGGAATATAAAACAGATGAATACGTTGCAGGAGGGAGGGCTTTAGATTCATGAGATACCAGTTGTTGTCTGAGCGAGATGGCACCTGCACAAACTGGGATTGAATTGTTTTTAGAGATAGTAGGAACTGCAGATGCTGGAGATTCAGAGATAGTAGGAACTGCAGATGCTGGAGTTTTCAGAGATAGTAGGAACTGAAGAAGGGTCTAGGCCTGAAACATCAACCTTCCTGCTCCTCTGATGCTGCTTGGCCTGCTGTGTTCATCCAGCTCTATACCTTGTTATCTCTTGAATTGTTTTTAGGCTGGTTTGCTTGTACTATAGGATAGAGTTTAAACCAACTCAGCAAGGGTGTGGAAACCAGGAGAGGATGTTAGAAACTAATGACAGGGTGTGTAGGAAATGCTAAAAGAGGCAAATGGCACAAAATAGAGAATACTAATTTATTAGATGGAGTCAGAGTAACGGAAAAAGTAACAAGTGAGGGTTACAATGTTATGTCATGAATGCATGAACTACAGGCAATAAATCTGGGGAGTTAGAAGCATTGATTATTTTGTAGGATTATGACGTGGCATAATACAGAGATCTGGTTTAATAAAGGCAAATCTGAGTGTTAAAAATTTCTGACTACAAGATATTCAGAAAAGACAGGAAAAGGATGGAGTGGTGTTTATGGTTGGGGAGAGTTTTGCAATACTGAAGACCATGTTTCAGGGGGTTCAAGGACAGAATCAATTTGGCTCAAGCCAATGAATAAGAATGTCGTAATTACATTGCTCAGTGCAATGTATAGACCACCGCGTATTGGGAAGAATACAGAAGAACAAATCTACAAAGAGTTTACAGAGAGGTGTAAACTTCAATACAGTACTGAAATGGGAAACTTTAATATTTGATATTGTCAGTGCATGGCACATCATTTCCAATATTCCCTCCCAATTTCTCCATTCTACCATAGAGTTATAGAGACACAGAGGTATACAGCATGGAAACAGACTCTTCAGTCCAACTCGTCTATGCCAACCGATATCCTAAATTAATCTGGTCCCATTTGCCTGCATCTGGCCCAAATTCTTCTAAACCCTGCCTATTCATATACCCATCCAGATGCCCTTTAAATGTTGTAACTGTACCAGCCTCTGCCACTTCCTCTGGCAGCTCATCCCATACATGCACCACCCTCTGCATGAAGAAGTTGCCCCTTCGGTCCCTTTTAAATCTTTCCCCTCTCACCTTAAATCCCTATGCCCTCTGGTTTTGGACTCCATTACCCTGTGGAAAAGACCTTGGCTATTCACCCTATCCATGCCCCTCATGATTTTATAAACTTCTATAAGGTCACCCCTCAGCTTCCGATGAACCAGGGAAAATAACCCTAGCCTATTCAGCCTCTCATTATAGCTCAAACCTTCCAACCCTGGCAACATCCTTGTAAAATCTTTTCTGAATCCTTTCAAATTTCACAACATCCTCCCTATAGCAGGGAGACCAGAAGTGAATGCAATATTCCAAAGTGGCCTGACCAATGTCCTGTACAGTCACAACATGACCTCCCAACTCTTTTACTGAATGCACTGCCCAATAAAGGCAAACATACCAAATGCCTTCTTCACTATCCTGTCTACCTGTGACTTCACTTTCAAGGAACTATGAACCTGCACTCCAAGGTCTCTTTGATCAACAACACTCCCCAGGACCTTACCATTAAGTGTATAAGTCCTACCCTGTTTTGCCTTACCAAAATGCAGCACCTCACATTTATCTAAATTAAACTCCACCTGCGACTCCTCGGCCCATTGGCCCATCTGATCAAAATCCCGTTGTACATTGAGATAACTTTCTTGATTGTCCAGTAGACCTCCAATTTTGGTGTCAGCTGCAAACTTACTAACCATACCTCCTATGTTCACATCCAACTCCTTTATATAAATGATAAAAAGCAGTGAACCCAACTACAATCCTCGTGGCACACCGCTGGTGACAGGCCTCCGGTCTGAAAAGCAACCCTCTACCACCACCCTCCGTCTTCTATCTTTGAGCCAGTTCTGTATCCAAATAGCTATTTCTCCCTATATTCCATGTGATCTAACCTTGCTAACCAGTCTACCATGAGGAACCTTGCCAAACACTATCTTCACTCTACACTTTTCTGCATCTTATGACATCTCGTTTTCTTACATCATCAATCCCAATTTTCACTTCCGATCTTCACTCTTCAGTTCATCACTTCTCATCTTCACTTCTCCCTCTTTACTCTCTATCTTCAACCATAATTACAATTGCATTAATTCTCCCATCACTCTTTCCCTCATCGTTTGTGTCTTTTCCCTCCCATCTTTAGCATTCCTTCTAAAAATTACATTTCCTAACAACACTTTCTGTTCTAGAAACTTTTTTTTAACCACTACCTTTCTGACTGAACCTAATTTAGGGGTAGGAGAGATGAGATCCAGGAATTATATTAGTGCAACATTTATATTCCATTGTGCTTAATCCAAGAATATAATGGCTCATTTGTTTAGTGCTCTCATGCCCAAATAACATTTTGAATTCATTAATTGAGCATGAGATTAGGAGCAGTGACTAGAAGTAGATACAACTAGTGAACCACTACCAAGCCCAGACTGAGTCTGTGGATCAGCATCAATTATTGTAAAGCCAGTCGCTAAAATAGAAAGCAAGTACCTGTCATTTTCCCTTAATGAACAAGAGGGACTATTTCATTTCATGATATCCATCCCACCGTTGCTGGTGCACCGTGGCTGCTGTATATACAATCTGCAAGATGCTCTGCAGCAAATCCCCATGTTAATTTAATGGCACCACCCATTATGGCAACGCCATCATCATACAGGTATCACTGATTCAAAGGAAAAACCCAATGCCGCCTTCTAAGGGCAACTAAAACTGGGCAATAATTGCAGCTTTGTCAGCACCACCCATAGTCCAAATACAAAGAGCAGACATAGCAGAGAGAGTGGTTTTGTTTATTTAGTTATTATTATTTACCATTTCAATAATTTAATTACTTACGAGGGACTGTATCGAGCTTGGTACCAACCTGCCCTTATTTAGGACTTTTCCAACATTCTAAGGGCTGTAAGATGGAGGGAGATTTCAATCCACCTGTCAGTGATGAAAAGATCATGCTCTAACCAACGTCAGTACCCTTTCCCCCACTCTGATGCTTCTTCAATGATGCATTGACTTACCAGCACAGAACATGTTTTTAGTAAGAGGAATATTTGTGGATAAATTACAGGTCTGCTGTGTGTTGATGGGAAGCTGGACATACTGCAGTTCCTTAGGTCTATTGGATGCTGTATTGACAAAGCTTTCCTGCAGGTTTCCCCAACCTGTGATCCGACCCAAGTGCTGCTTGTATAGTAACCTGGAAACAAGAACAAGAGACTGAATATTCCTGCTGCTCAAACAATAAACCAGAAGCTGACATTATTTTAATGTCTCGTCCATCTTATTGGATTTTGCTGAAGTTGTTATTTGGACCCAGAACTGGTGAAACAGTCCTAGTCCAAACACATTCCCATCACTTGAACTTGTAGGTCTCAAATGTTAGCCCTCCTTCTCAGCCTCAGTCTTGTAGTGCAGGGCTAGTGGGCCCGAGTGTGAGTCCGACTCCAGCACTTGATGGCCAAGGAAGATGTGTTCATAACACAGTCAAACAGATTGAGAATCAACTTGAAGATTCCTCCAATAAATGTCAATCGCAGGTGGTAACAATGGGAGACCTTCCTGACCAACCATGTAATGGAAAACATGTTTGACACCCCACCATCACATAGTGAGTAAAAGTGTATGTTGCTACAGTGACTCCAACTCCCTGAGCGAATGGTAACACAGCACTGCCACATTCATTCATACATTTGTGTGCTCACTTTGGCAGCGCATTACTAAAATTGGAATGATACAGAGAGAATTAGCATGACCCCTGCACAAAGGTGACATGGAAATTCATGAAGCAGGGTAGCACAGTGGCTCACAGTGCCAGGGATCTGGGTTCAATTCCAGCCTCAGGTGACTGCTTGTGTGGAGTTTGCACATTCTTCCCACGTCTCTGTGGGTTTCCTCTGGGTGCTCTAGTTTCCTCCCATAGTTCAAAGATGTGCAAGCTAAGTGGACTGGCCATGCTAAATTTCCCTTAGGGTCTAGGGATGTGTAGGCTAGGTGGGTTAGCCATGGGAAATACTGGGTTACAGGGATAGAGTGGACCTAGGTGAGATGCTCTTTGGAGGGTTGGTGTGGACTCAATGGGCTGAATGGCCTGCTTTTGCACACTGTTGGAATTATACACACACACACACAGACACACAAAATATATACATAAGATATAAAGTGCAAAAGGCTTGCAATCATATACCACTTCTGTCAACCTGGGGCTTTCCAAAGTGCTTTACTGCCAATACAGTTTGTTTTTGAAGTGCAAAAGGGCAGACAAGTTGTGCACAGCAAGATCCCACAAATAGCCATGAGTTAAATGACAGATCTAATTGGTGAGCTGTTTCTGTCTGGTCTCTCAGTTAGGGAGTTAACTGCCTATAACACAGATTTTAGGTACATCTAGCACTGCCGCAGCTGGTTTAATCCACCATCACATCCTTTATATAACAAGACAAAATTGAAGTGTTCCATAGGACCCACACTCCTTATTCCCTGAAGATTTGAATTCTGCAGCCACTCACCCTCAAGACTGCGAAAACTCAATGTCAGTGTTTACGTCCATCTTTCTAACAACTCACTCATCACAAGCTACATTCTCTCAACACTTTCCAGTTAAGCACATTCAAAATATTAGTACTAATAATTAAAATGAGCTACTCCTCCAAAGCTGCATACATATCTTATTTTTCAACAAAATCTTGCATTTATATGATGCCTTTAGGATAATAAACACTATCAAGGCACTTAACAGCAGAATTAATTCAGAGGATCAAAATCTCAGTCAATGAGGTAGATTTTAATAAATAATTTAAGGGAAAAGGCTAAGTAATGGTATTGAACACTGTGCGATCATTACAGAACATCCCCACTTCTGACCTCATGATAGAGGGAATGAAGTAGCTGAAGATGGTTGGGCCTACGACCTGAGGAACTCCATCAGAGATGTCCCGGAGCTGAAATGACTGACTTCCAACAACCACAACTATCTTCCTGTGTGCCAGATATGACTGATGGGCTGATAATTAGCTGGGTTGGACTGGTCCTACTGTTTTAATAACAGGTCATACTTAGGCAATTTTCCACATTATTGGGTAGATGCCTGTGTTGTAACTGTACTGGAACAGCTTGGCTAGGGGAACAGCATGTTCTGGAGCACAAGTCTTCAGTACTATTGCTGAAATGCTGTCAGGGCCCGTTGCCTTTGCAGTATCCAGTGTCTCCAACTGTTTCTTGATATCACGTGGAGTGAGTCAAATTGGCTGAAGACTGGTATCTGTAATGCCGAGGACCACTGGAGGAGGTCGCGATGGATCATCCACTCGACACTTCTGGCTGAAGATTGCTACGAGTGCTTCAGCCCTTTCTTTTGCACTGATGTGCTGGTCTCTTCTATCATTGAGGATGGGGATATTTGTGGAGCCACCTCCTCCAGTGAGTTGGTTAATCGTCCACCACCATTCACGACTGGATGTGGCAGGACTGCAGAGCTTAGATCTGATCCATTGTTTTGTGGGATCGCTTAGCTCCTTGTATCACTTGCTGCTTATGCTGTTTGGCATGCAAGTAGTCCTGTTTGGTGGCTTCACCAGATTGACACCTCATCTTCAGGTACGCCTGGTGCTGCTCCTGGCATGTCTCCTGCACTCTCCCTTGAACCAGAGTTGATCCCCTGGCTCGATTGTAATGGTTCAGTGAGGGATATATGGGCCATGAGGTTACAGATTGTGCTGAAGTACAATTCTGCTGCTGTTGATGGCCCACAGTGTCTCATGAATGCCCAGTCTTGAGTTGCTGGATCAGTTTGAAGTCTAGTACGGTCATACAACACGGGTGATTGGGGCTGCCACATAAGGTGGCACAGTGGCTCAGAGGATAGTACTGCTGCCTCGCAGCATTTCTACCTTCAGGCGACTGTCAGAGTGGAGTTTGCACGTTCTCCCCATATCTGTGTAGGTTTCCTCCAGGTGTTCTGGTTTCCTCCCACAGTTCAAGATGTGTAAGTTAGATGGATTGTCCATGATAAATTGCCCATAGTGTCCAAAGTGTGTACATTAGGTGAATTACCCATGGTGAATGCAGGTTTTAGGGTAGGCTGTGGGTCTGGGTGGGATGCTCTTTGGAAGGTTGGTCTGGACTCAATGGGCTGAATGGTCTGCTTCAACACTGTTGAGGTTTTATGGACACGATGGAGGTTATTCTCAATGTGGAGGCAAGACTTCGTATCCACAAGGACTGTGCGGTGGTTGCTCTTACCGATACTGTCAAGGACAGATGCATCTGCAGCTGGCTGATTGGTAAGGATGAGGTCAAGTATGTTTTTCCATTTTGTAGGTTCCCTCACCACCTGTTGTGGGCCCAGTCTAGCAGCTATGTCCTTTAGAACCCGACCAGCTCAATCAGTAGTACTGCTGCCAAGCCACTCTTGGTAAAGAGTACATCTGTGCCTTAACGCTCTCAGTGCTTCCTCTGAGTGGTATTCAACATGGTGGAGTATTAATTCATCAGCTGTGTGGGGTGTGGGGAGGAGGGGTGTGGATACGCATGTAGTAATCAACACGAAGTTTCCTTGCCCATGTTTGACCAGGTACTATGACACTTCATGGCATCCAGAGTGAATGTTGAGTACTCCCAGGGCAACCCTTTCCCAATCATATACCAGTATGCCACCATCTCTGCTGGGCTTTCCTACTGGTTAGCAGGGATGGTAATGGTCTTGTCTGGGATGTAATCTGAAAGGTACAATTCTGTGAGTATGACCATGTCAGGCTGCCGATCACCCGACTGTCATTCCGAATAAGACCCCTCCCTCTCCATTCCCCATGCCCCACCTCGGTTATACCTCTTCCATCTTCTTCAGCATGGCAGACGATACCAACAGACATGTTCTTCAAATTCCCCTGCTTACAATTTGGGGTGTAAGTAATTATCCTGAAGTCCATTTTCTCTCTTCCTACTCCAAGGACTGCCTTGGGTTTTTTTTTGTTTTACAATTTGGCAACGAAAGTAAGTAAACAGGAAGAATCAGACATCCTGCTCTTTGAACAAAAACTAAACTGTTTAGTCAGCAAAATTGTACTGAGCAGTAAACATCCTGGGAAAGGATTACTTCAACCATGACATTAATTCTCTCAAATCTACAAGCTATCCATCAGTAAAAAGAAACCAAAAACTTTAAATGAATGGGATTAAACTTACATAGATACATATATACACAACGAGCGCACCTTACAAGTGTACTAACTCACTGTACTAACACAGCCTTTACATCGAGACAAAAGCAAAGAGCTGTGGATGTTGGACACCTGAAAAACAAACAGAAATTACTGGAGAAACTAAGCAGGTCTGGCACCTTCTGTAGAGAAAAAGCAGAATTACTGTTTTGGATCCAGTGACCCTTCTTTGGTTTCTCCAGCAATTTCTGGGCTTTTTTGGTGTTGCGTTAAGCTTTCTGATTGCACCTTTAACCTTTTAGCCACCAGATAAAGCAGCAACAGCAGTGATATGTTTAGAAACCCCTTGTGGCCAATTATACCTTGTAAAAATCAAAGCTAAAATGATGAAATACCTTTCTTTCCACAGGTACTGCCTGAACTGCTAAGTTTCCCTCAACATTTGCTATTCTGGTAGTCAGTTAGCTCAGTTGGCTGGACAGCTGGGCTATGACAGAGTGACACAAACAGCACGGGTTCAATTCTCATTTTGACCAAGATGTTTACAAAGGCCCTACCTTTTTAACCCTTCCCCTTGCCTGAGGCAGTGACCCTCAGGTTAAACTCATCAGCAGTTATCTTGATCTATGAGAAAGTGTCCTCTGGGCTCTTGTGGCTTTCAATTGCTGTTCTTAACGATGCTGATCCCTATATTGTGAAAACTAAAATCCTCAATATATGCTGGTTTTGCCTTTAGAAACTATACAGAACTCCATTTACAATCTCACCAGTGTAAATGGGAAGTGCTGGATAAACTCACCATCTATGGTTTCCAGTCCAGTATGGTTGTTTTGATTTGATTTGATTTGATTTATTATTGTCACACGTACTGAGATACAGTGTTATGTATTGTTTTGTATGCTTATCCAGACAAATCATACCTTCCGTAAGTACGCCACAGTAATAGAACCAAATGCAGAATATAGTTTTACCGTTACAGAGAAAGTGCAGAAAAAGATCAACTCTAATACATGAGAGGTCTGTTCATAAGTCTGATAACAGCAGGGAAGAGACTGTTCTTAAATCTGTTGGTGTGTGTTTTCAAACTTTCGTATCTTCTGTCTGATGAAAGAGGGTAGAAGAGAGCATTACCGGGTGGAGGCTCTTTGATTATGTTGGCTGCTTTCCCAAGGCAGTGGGAAGTATAGATGGAGTCAATGGATGGAACGCTCTTCTTCAGAATGAAAAGGGAGCTAGAAAAGTGATGGGTTTTATGCCACAAAGAAAAGGGGGAGGGTGAGGAGCAAGGAGATAAGGGGGTAAAGAAGCCCAGAACAAAAGGCAAAAATGATTGCTACATTTCTGGTCTCCTTACTAAAGCAGTGAGGTGGTTCAGAAAAGGCTCATTAGGCTGATTCCTGGGATGAAGGGGATGTCTTGTGAGGAAAGTTGAAGCAAGTTAAATTCATTGGTCTTAAGAATGAGAAGTCATATGACTGAAATATATGCGATTTGGACAAGGCTTGGCAGATTAGATACTGGGAGGATGTTTCCTGTTGCGAGGAAGCTATGGGGCATAGTTTCAAAATCAGGGAGTCTCCCATTTCAGATAGAGATAAGGAAACATTTCTTTTCTCAGAGGGTTGTAGGCCTTTGGAATTCTCTTCCTCAAAAAGCATAGAAAAGAAAGGTACTTGAAAATGTTCAAGACTGAGGTAGACAGATTTTTGATTATCAAGGAAGTCAAAAGTGATGGAGATGAGGTGGTGGTGAAGGCAGACAGACATAAAGGATAAGGTCGCAATTAAATCAGCCATGATCTTATTGATAAGCTGAGCAGATTCAATGTACCATATTCCTGTTTCCACTTCTTAAGAAGTTGCATGCTCCCCATTATCACTCAAACCATTCATTATGTGTCCAGGCATTTGCACCTTGCATAAATAATAAAGTTCTTGTCTTCATCTAGAAGGAAAAGAGGGTGAAAAGACTACATAGAATGGAATACCAACCTGCGGGTGACTTCCATGGTTGGCAGACAGATGGGTGATATATAGTCAGTGAATACGGTGGGTTTTTTCAAATGCAACAATGCAATATCACGGTTAAGGTTTGTTTTCCAGTCATATCTGGGATGAACAATAATTTTATCAAGTGCAAAGATTTTTTCTGTTTCTTTTTCATACCTAAAGGATAAAAGAATCATGAACAACATCTCTTTTGTGACATTAAGAGAAAGAAATATTGAGCAACAAAAAAAAAGGATGAAGTGACAGGAAAGAGAAATCAAGCAGGAAATCTTAGCAAAAGGAAAAGCAATAAGGAAATAAGCAGCAAATATACAATTCTTTTCACAATGAGGTCACGCCACTTACCTCTCTACACATTTCTAATCTATAATGTATGGAGCTAAGTGCGAATGACAGCATTTGTTCTGGATATCCTGCTACCCAGGTCTCAGCAGAATATCTCAAGTATGCAGAGTGAAATGGCTCTCTGTATAAGTGGCTTATCTCAGACTGCTGAGGATGCTCAAACAGACCACGTTAGTATGACCGGCACACTTCCATGAACTACTGGTGGAAGTGCAAGGTAAGAATTGTGGCTTATTTTTAGGGTGTAAGACAGTTGTAAAATATATTAATTCAGCAGTGAGGTTATCTGTACAGGAGAGGATCGTACTGTGAAGATTATGGAATATGTTTTTAGGTATTCCAAGTGAATAGTGAAACAGCTGTAACACACATCAATGATGTACTGCTGGTGGACTTAGAGCCTGCTAAGCATCCATTCCTAAAACTGAGCTACTCTGAACAAAGACTGCACTAGGTCTGTTATGGTTAGCCTAACAGGTTTATACATAGCCTAACAAGCAACCTAAAAGGAATCACAATTGCAACAACTTGGAGACAGTAAGGACTGCAGATGCTGGAAGCTAGAATCAATAAATGTGGAGCTGGAAAAGCACAGCAGGACAGACAGATTCCGAGGAGCAGGGAATCAACGTTTCAGGCCGAAATCCTTTGTCAGGACTGGGAGGGGGGTGCACGGGGGAAAGGTGGTAGTGGTGGTGGTTGGGTGGGGGGCAGGGCTGGGGGAAGAGGGTGGAATAGAGATGTGAGGCCAAACCTAAACTGGAGGAACAACCCCTGATGTTTCGCCTTGGCAGTTTACAGCCCAATGGCCTGAATATTGACTTCAATGGCTTCAAAATCTCTCCACCCAATCTATCCATCTCCTGACTCGCCTATCTGTTCTGCTCTTCCCACTGACCAATAACCTCCTACCTGCATCCACCTATCTCCATCCCACCTACCAGACCCACCCCCTCTATTTATTTCTGGGCTCTCTTCTCCCTCCCCAGTCCTGACAAAGGGTTTTGGCCCAAAACATTGACTTCCCTGCTCCTTGGATGCTGTCTGACCTGCTGTGCTTTTCCAGCTCTGCATTTATTGATACTAGTGCAACAAATTGCCTCATCCAACTAAGGAAAATTAGAGAGAATATTGCTTCTTCCTTCATGCCTTGCCTCCCAGTTGTCTTCTCTTCCTGACTGCCTCACTGTTCCCATTAATCTCTTGCTCCCAATTGACACCTCTTTTTGAGTACAAGACCATCATCACCTCCCTGCTATTACCCATTTCTACCGTGATGTTGTAGTGATCAAAAATGTATGGCCAAATTACCAGAAAGTTGTTGGTTTAATTAAAATGAGGCCTGGGGCCTAATTTCAATCAGGCCTTGGGGCTAGCTTGTCTAATGTGAGGATTGTTCCCTGCTTCCAATGTAGGATAAGTAAATACAAGTTTTATTATCTGATATCGTGACATCTAAATTGTCCAAATACTGGGTCATTATGGCACGAAATGTCACCAAACCCTGCACATTTCCTGTGACCAGATAAATCCAGAGAAGTAGGGTGGAGCCATTTGCTAGTTTTCATTAACCTAAAACTATTGGCCAAAAATGGCTAACAAACCTGAATCCAATTTCAATTTGTTTGATACATAGTTCACTTTCTGATAGGAAGTGATCTAAGGATTAATGGACGGAGTTTTAGGAATTTTTTGTTTGTCTTTTCACTTGCATGGTCTCATCCAATTTCCTTTATAATCTATGATCAGAGTAGGAAGACAGTTTTTTTTCTTCACAGCTCCACTCATAAACTCGGGACTCACACAGTGCTTTAGAGCTAATTTGAAGAATAGGAATTGATGTCATATAGGAAATACAGTAGCCAATTTGCACACAGAGACCTCCCAAGTAAATGCCTGGATAATCACCACAATGTTGTGGTATTGGTTGAAGGATCACAAAAGAGGCCTCCTCTTTACAATGATGCCATGGAATATTGCATGAGTATGATGCAGTGTGAACTAAAAATGAGTTTGAACTGACATATCTTTTTGGCCTACCCAGCTCGTTTGTGCTTCCCAAGACGGACAAGAATATCTTTCTCTGTGAAGTTTTTGTCCCATGGAGGATACAAGATACAGTGGGCTGCTGTAATAATCCACTGGTCACTCACTAGGCTGCCGCCACACAGCATCTGCTGCGGACTTTTACGGAACAGCATCACTTGCCTGTTATGGAGAGAAAAGAAAAATTTAGAAAGCTGAAATCCTGCCTGTGGATTATTATTGATAGTTTGTTTAGGAGCAGAGTCTTCCCTTTAGTTGGGCGGCATGGTGGCTCAGTGGTTAGCACCGCTGCCTCACAGGGACCTGGGTTCGATTCCACCCTCGGGCGACTGGCCGTGTGCACTGCACATTCTCCCCGTGACTGCGTGGGTTTCCACCGGGTGCTCCAGTTTGCTCCCACAGTCTGAAGATGTGCAGGTTAGGTGGATTGGCCATGCTAAATTGCCTATAGTGTCCAGAGATGCACAGGCTAGGTAGGTTAGCCATGGGAAATGTAGGGTTATGGGGTGGGTCTGGACGGGAAGCTCTTTGGAGAGTCAGTGTGGACTTGATGGACCAAATGACCAGCTTCCACACTGTAGAGATTCTATGATTCTACGACAGAATGAAAGAGCAAATCAAGGGGACACAGTCTTAAAATGAACAATGGGCTATTATAGTTGTAAAATCAGATCTCTCAAGCAACATGCAACTTGGAAAAGAATTTGCATTTATATAATGCCTCTCACATACCCAGGATGTTCCATTGTACTTTGTAATGCGGGTTGTGAGCATAGACCAAGGTCACAGGTTTTATTCCTGGTCTGTGCCAAGTTACCTGATCACTACTTTTAATCGCAGTATTCTTGAATTAGTGTTGAGATATAACAGCCAAGGTTCCTACTCCTAACCACGATCACGAGACTCATTCCAGCAAGCTGCCTGGACGTGTGAGGACATTAGAACTCTCTGTTTGGGCTTACACATGGCTGATCCCCATTTGGCCTTGTGTCCATTGCCCCTTTTTGATCAGGACTCCTATATAGTTAATGCGTTTTGAAAGATTAGAACCTTCAGCTGGTAATCTTACAGAATCATGTCTTTTCACTAAACAGCTGTGAAATAACGGGATGCGGAACACAAGGCCAAAGTACTCACCGGTATTCTGTTACCCACCAGAGAGAATAAAGGAAGCCAAAACCACTTGCTGTGTGTGTGCCAATCTCACTACAACAAGAAGTTGACTTGCCAACACACACGTTTTGGCCTTAAAACAGGAAGGACATTGCCAGTTCTGCAGGGTAGTCAATGCATTCCAGTGCTATCAACCTGGTTCACCAATGCTTTTTGCAAATCTTGCCTTCTGCATAAGCTATTTGATGATTTGCTGCTTTGAACAGTATTGATGCATTGGCTGGAAAATCTTTGCACATTACCATGGGGCACTCCCTATTTCAGCATTCTTTCCGTGCACAATTCGACCTTTAAGGGACTCCAGCATTTCCTTTTCTCCTTCATCTTCCTTGTTCCTGCGTTCAAATAATGCTCTCAGACCACATTCTAGAAACAATGAGAACAACTCAGTCACCTACATTTAAAACTTCCATTTGTCCTTAAGTTAGGTTAAAACCACAATGATTAACTTTGGAAAATCTTGGGAAATTATTCCAATAGAACATTGAGTTCTACCTTGCCACTCCACACTTTCAAACAGTCAGATCCTTAGTATGGCCTGCACTTTTAATTCTGCTGGGTGTATTGCTTGCAGGCAACCCAGACTGATGGTAATGTATTATCCAATCTAAACTACTTTTCAGATTGATGAAGTGAACCAGTGGGGCAGCATTTGGCACATGGGCATCAGCTGTCAAGTGGAGTATTAGGAAAAGTATGGTAGGAAATGGAGTACAATGATGGCTAACAGTGGGCTGTGGAGTATATTGGTGCAAGGGGGAAAGCATAGAAGAGCAAGAAAAGCTGGGAGTGAAGCACAAACTTTAGCGCTAATGACATCAGACATGAACAGAAGTTAGACTTACTGTTCAATGATGTCAAATATATTGTGAACGCAAATGCAAGATGGCACTGGTGAATGACGACTTTATACACTTTCCACTCTACTCTTGTATTCCTATGCTTGAGTACACGCGACAGGAAAATCTAATTCTAAATTCTAATTCTAAATGATTATCTGAGAGGCTGTTTAGCTTTCTTGTGTCTGATTACCAGGAAGCTGGGAGAAATTGGTTGCTAATAAATTGTCACGTCTTTAAAGCAAGGGAAGTGTTTATTGCTTGGCACTTGGCTTATTAATTGTATATCAAAGATATGGTTGAGACACAAAAGTGAAGAGCTTTGTTGAAATGAGTGCTTTGAGCACATATAAAGAAAGACTACCTGTGGTTTCTACTGCACTGCGGTGTCCTTGAGTCATGCTTACACTGAGATTGAGGCTGCAGTCCTTCTTTCATCACCCACGAGGGCTGCTCCTCAAACCTTAAATTCCACTTCAGTTCCATGCTCTTGATCTTTGAGCACTCAGTACAGGCAGTCCTTCTTGTGGGTCTGCTACTGGGACCCAATCAAGGTGACTGTCAATGAGTCTAGGCTGTGAGCCACAGAGGTGTTATTGTGACAGCCTGCCTCTCTTTTGTGGCTTATGTTCATATCCAGGTGGCCCTGGAGAGGGATTTCTTAAGGTCTTCTGAGACAAGTAGGCATTGCTAGGAGCTATTGTTCATATCTACTCCCAAGTTCATTTTTGAATGTAATAATTAATTTTCCTTTTAGTTGTTGTCTTTAAAAGGTTGCCACTTGTTTAATTTGGCTCAATTTGGTTTAATTTGATTTTGTTTAGTTTAATTCAATTTAATTTCATTGTTTTAACTCATTTAATATGAGTACAAAGAGAGAGAGAGAGAGAGGCTACTTGTGGCTTCTCCAGCCTTCAGCAGTCTGACAATCATAGGTGTGTGAGACTGTACCTCTTTCCCTTGTCTAAGGGGCTGTTCCTCTAACTATAAAAGCTTCTAAATGTTTGTAAAAATGGAGATACTAGTAAAGAGATTCAGGTTCATTATACGCAGATAGAAGAAGGAAATGGAGAAATGGCAGCGAAGCTAAATAAAGTACTTTGTGTCTATCTTCATAGAGGGAGACACAAGAAGTCTCCCTGAAATAATGATGATCCAAGGATGGAGAAAGTGGTGGAACTGATAGAAATTAGTATTAGCTTAAAAAAAGTAGCATTAGAGAAATTAATGGGACTGAAAGCTGATAAATCCTACAATATGATAACCTTCGCCCTTCAGTGTTGGAAGAGATGACACCAGAGATAACAGATCCATTGTTGATCATCTTTCAAAATTTTATTCATTCTGAAATGGTGCCTACAGATTGGAACATTGCAAATGTAACCTCACTGTTTAAGAAAGGAGAAGAGAGAAACAGATAGCTATGGACCTGACTATGTTAGTCTGATATCAGTACTAAAGAAAATACAAGAATTTATCACAAAGAACCTGATTACTGGATATTTAGAAAGTAATTGTTCCAACGGACAGAGTCAACATGGTTTTATGAAAGAAAAATCAAAATTTTCAAACCTGGTAGAGATTTTTGAGGATATTACTAGCAGAATTGATAAGATGGAACCAATGGATATATTGTATTTGAACTTTTAGAAGGCTTTTGATAAAGTCCCACATAGGATGTTAGTAAAGTTCTTAGACACTAGAAGCAATATATAAAAGTTTGGATCAAGGATTAGTTAATGAGCAGGAAGCAAAGAGTAAGAATAAATGGGTCATTGGCCACAGCCTGCCATCCTGGCAATGAGGTACTGCAAGGATCAGTAATGGGTTCACAGTTGTTTGCTACGTACATCAATGATCTGGATGTGGGGGCCAATTGTAACATTTCCAAGTTTGCAGATGACACAAAACTTAGTGGTAACAAAATAACAAAGTGTAGAGCTGGATGAACACAGCAGGCCAAGCAGCA